ATAATAGTAAAATCCCTCTCCTCACTACACACCAGGTTCACTAAAGAATGGTAACATTGCTTGAAGATATTCAGGCCAGCAAGAAGTCAACATCTTCAATGAATAAAGAACAAAGAAAAGAAGATTAACAAAGTAAAATACACGACTAATGCAAGTTATTTCATTTCTACCACAGATCTCTACTGTAGAAAGCATCACTAAGCCCAGCTTCAAATATTTAACTAGTTTAACACACCACTAGATGGAGCTTTATACACATCTTCCTCGGTTCATGGAGCAAAGCTCATGAATTACCATCGCTTGCTACACAGAAGAAAAATGAGAGCTTTTCAGGAAAATTTTACAATGTGGTATTGTTGCTAGACTACTCAAGAAATGTTCTGGGGATCAATGTTTGAAACCCGCCATGGCAGATAGTGGAGTTTATGGTGGCTCAGTGGTTAGCACTGCTGTCTCACAGAGCCAGGGACCTGGGTTTAATTCCACCCTTGGGCAACTGTCTGTGTGGAGTTTATGAATTGTCCACGTGTAGGTTGGGTGGGTTATAGGGGATGGGTCTGGGTGGGATGTTGTGAGGGTTGGCGTGGACTTGTAGGGCCGAAGGGCCTGTTTCCACCCTGTAGGGATTCTATGATACATCCAAAAAAATAAATATGGATCATGGTGGACAACAAAATAACTCATTGGGAAAAGAAGACACCACAAATAAGCCCATTCTCAGTGAGAGGCAAGTACAGGACATCAGTGCAAATGATAAGCCTGAGGCATCTGCATCCATCTTTAGCCAGAAGTGCTGAGTGGATGACCCATCTTGGATTCCTCTGGAGGCTACCAGCTTGACAGACACCTCACTTCAACTAATTTGATTCATTCCACAATAGCAAGAAATAGCTGAAGGCACCAGATGTTGCTAAGGCTATGGGCCCTGACAACAATCTGGCAATAGTACCAAAGATGTACAATCTAGAAATGTTGCATCCCTAGCCAAGTTGTTCCAGTGCACCTCCAGCAATGAGATCCAACTGACAATGTGGAAATTGCCAGGTGAGTGCGTCCTGCTTTGTGTGGACAGGACAGGTCCAACAGAGCTAATTACCACCCTATCAGTCAGCACTCAATCATAAGCAAATGGACGGAAGCGAACAACGACTATTAAACAACACTTGCTCAGCAACAACCTGCTCCCTGCTGCACAGTTTGAGTTTTGCCAAGGTCATTCAGCCTCTGGCCTCAATACAGTTATGTTTAAACCTTAGACAAAACAGCCAAGTTCCAGACGTGAGGTGAAAGCTGCTGCCCTCAACATCAAGGGACAACTTGCCCACGTTTAGCATCAAGGACCCGTAGAAAAACAAAGTCAATGAGAATCAAGGGGAAGCTCTTTGGTGGTGCAAGTCATACCTATGACAAAGGAAGATGATTGTGGTTGATGAAGGTTAATCATCTAAGTCCCAGGACAAATCTGTTAGAAATACTCAGATTAGACAGTTTATAATCAACACAATCAGACATGTTATTACAGACCTCTGAAGCAGGTGGGACTTGAATGCAGACCCCTGGGTCAGAGGTAGGGACACCACCAGTGTGCCACAAGCACCTTCATTTTCAGTAATGACCTTTCCTTCAACTTTCAATTAGCATTAGGGATGTTTACTGATAATTACAAAATATTCTGTACCATTCACCTCTCCACAAGTATTTAAGCAGTCTGCATTCATATGCAGCTAGACACGGACAACTTCCAGGTATGGGCTGATAAGTGGCAAGTAACATTTACAGCACACAAATGCCAGTCAATGACCATGTCCAATATGAGAGTACATAAACATCTTACAGCCATTCCCATTGCCATTGCAGCTGAACTAGCCCAGACATTTAAACACTGTGAACACAACAGCATGTCAGTGGCGAAGGAGCCTTGCCTTTATAGCCACTGTATTCATATGGCTAGTCTAGTTTAGTTTATAGTCAACGGCAACACCCAGGATGTTGATAGTGGGGGATTTAATGATGGTAATGCCATTGAACATCAAGGGGCAATGGTTAGATTGTCTCTTATTTGAGATGGTCATTGCGTGGCATTTGTGTGCCAAATATCACTTGCGACTTTTCAGCCCAAGCCTGAATGTTGTCCAGGTCTTGCTACACATGGACATGGGCTGCTTCAGTATCCAAGGAATCGTAAATGGAGGCAAACATTGTGCAGTCATTGGTGAACATTCCCACTTCTGATCCTCCGATGGAGATAAGGTCATTGATGAAGCAGCCGAAGCCAGTTGGTCATCCTGGAGACATTCTGGAGCTAAGATTTAAACTGATGTGCAAAATAAATGCAAGGCAATCTACATCTTAACTACTAATGTGTGGGGAAAAAAAATCTTTTTCACACATTTGAGGGGGCTCTGGACAATAATTATATATAGTATGGGGAAAAAGTTAGAGATTTGCGTAAGGTAATGATGCCCATCTGAAGAAGAGCAAATGCAGGGACAATAGGCCAAATGGCCTCCTTCTGCAACATAAATCTCTGCGATTCTACCTCAGGTTGGCCTGTAATTTGAGCTTTCCATCTAATGGTTTAAAAGACTGTATACGATGCCACCCGAAGGTTGCAGGAACAGCAACTCATATTCCGCTTGGGAACCCTGCAGCCCAATGGTATCAATGTGGATTTCACAAGCTTCAAAATCTCCCCTCCGCCTACCGCATCCCAAAACCAGTCCAGCTCATCCCTGCCTCCCTAACCTGTTCTTCCTCCCACCTATCCCCTCCTCCCACCTCAAGCCGCACCCCCATCTCCTACCTACTAACCTCATCCCGCCCCCTTGACCTGTCCATCCTTCCTGGACTGACCTATCCCCTCCCTAACTCCCCACCTACACTTACCTTTACTGGCTCCATCCCCGCCTCTTCGACCTGTTTGTTTCCTCTCCACCTATCCTCTCCTCTATCCATCTTCTATCCGCCTCCCACTCTCTCCCTATTTATTTCAGAACCCCCTTCCGCTCCCCCTCCCCCTTTTCTGATGAAGGGTCTAGGCCCGAAACGTCAGCCTTTCTGCTCCTATGATGCTGCTTGGCCTGCTGTGTTCATCCAGCCCTGCACCTTGCTGTCTCGGATTCTCCAGCATCTGCAGTTCCTACCATCTCTGTATACACAGTCTGTTCTTTTTAAAGAGTAAAATCACACTGATATTGGTAAGTTAAACTGCACTCCAAATGTGCATAGGATAAAATCCATGACTGTATACTCGAGTTTAAGGTTCTTGCGAAGATTTGTAGTTTGAGTGTATGGCCATCAATTTAACTGGGACGACATGACCAACCACAGATACACATGGGAATTCCTACAGGCCTGGTTATCCACCCATAATGCAATCAATAAACATGTGGAATTAGACCCCACATACAAACCCTTGCAATAAAAAACTGGAAATGACACAAAACATCGCAACAGACTGGATCTTATAAATACTAAGCAGAGTAGAAGTACATTGCTTCATCAGAGGCTGCACTGATGATGTTACGTAGCATGGTGATGAAACATTTGAACTATAACCAGCTAGCTTGGTGAGCAAGTCAACAACCTATATATTAGAGTATAACTACAAGTTGTAATGAAACTGCAATGACATTAGCATTACAAGTGCACAATAAATGACACAGAATATCAGTTGTTATTTTAATTATTATTAATCTGAGGAACAAAATCATTACAAATGTACACTGCAGAAAATTAGGCAAATTATAGGTTACATTATAACAGTGATCCTGTTACATTAATTGAATCAATATTATAATACAGACAATACTGTAAAGAACAATCAGCATAAACCATTTCCTTTTCCTAATGTGGAAACTGGTGAGTTTATTTTGTATCAATGAATAATGGAAAACAGATAAGATCTTGGGGAGATTGGACACAGTGGATTCCTCAAGGATGTTTCCCTTTGTAGGGATACAAAAAGCAGGAAAAATAATTTTAGAATAAGAGATCTCAATTTTAGGACAGAGACATGGGAATTTTTTTTCTCTCTTTCAGGGATCATTAGAGTGTGGAAGGCTTGGTCTTGGAAGGTATTCAAGGCTGAATTTTTGCTCGACAAGGGAATCATGGGTAATGGGATACAGTCATAAAACTGGAACTGAGCCCACAACTGGATCAGCCCCAATTATTCGGTTACTGAACAGTGGAGCAGGCTGAAAGGGTCAAATTGCCTACTCCCGCTCCCCGTCATTTGTACCTATGGATACAAACCTTCCTCTGTCCTGCTGGAAGTTCAGCAGAAATGCCATTCAATACATCTAAACTGAAGTTGAGGTGAGGAAATTCCTGATCATGATTGCTGAGTTTCCAAAAATTACATATATATAGGATTAGCTCAAATAAATTGATCTCCCTGCTTGTATGAGCAATAACCTAATGCTGTAAAATTCTTTAATAACTAGTTTTATTTCATTTAAAATAATGCTATTAAAATAATTAATTTGATACCATTCTAATTGAATTGCCTCCTTTCAAATAATTGAAGAGAGAGTACTTATTTCCATTAATGATCCAATCATGTTCAATTACTGGTGAGTAATGGTTTAATGTCATATATCTATAATTTGAAACAGTTTTTGAGGTGATATTGGGAAAACGTACCTGGAAAATTTTGAAAGAAAGATTGTTTCGGAAGGCTAACAGAACAAAGGATATTAAGAAGATCATTAATAAGGAAGACAATAAAAGACATATTAACAAAAGCTGAATCAGTACAATGATTGAATACTACCTAACTTGTTATCATAGAATTGAATCCCTACAGTGTGGAAACAGGCCCTTTGGCCCAACAAGTCCACAATGACCCTTGGAGCATCCCACCCAGATCCATTCCCTTATAACCCACCTAAGCTACATATCCCTGAACACTACAGGCAGTTTAGAATGGCCAATCCAAATAATCTGCACATCTTTGGACTGTGGGAGGAAACCCACACAGACATGGGGAGAATGTGCAAACTCCACACAGACAGTCGCCCAAGGGTGGAATCGAACCCAGGTCTGTGGTACTGTGAGGCAACAGTGCTAACCACTGAGCCACCATGCCACCCCATTGTTACTACCTGAAACATTATTTACAAAACCCCAGCTGGAGATTTAATTTGGAAACTACCTATTTATGTTAAGTAATACCCGTAACAAAATATAATTTTCCAGGTTATAACATTAAGTAATGTATTACTATATGACTCTTATTCTACCAATTATACTTTTATGGTGATTATTGATGGTGCAAATTACTATATTGGTTATATTATGCAGGTAAATAAAGCAGTATATTCAATTTCAGGTCATGTACTTGAGGTCTTCCAGGTGTGATAAGAATTGTTGGTTTATGCAGGGTGGATTCAAAGATTTATTATATCTTGAAGCCAAATGGTAACAAATACATGGACCTAGACATGCATCGTAAATCCCAATGCAATTATCCTTAATCCTTTCTCAATCAAATTTTTGTTATAAATTGTGCTTCTAAAATAATCTGAAGTTGAAAACAAAAGTAGGTGAAAACTCCCATTGAATTTGATAAGATTTCATTGTACTGCACTTTAATTACATTGTGTGCCCTGAAACTCTTGGGTATTACTCGAACTTCTATTGAAGCACACCCAAAGCGCTGAATTTCATAATTACATTTATGTATAAACAAAATAAATATATTATGCATGTGAAAGTGTCACGGTATACTTCACAGGCCTTTTAAAAATAAAAATTATATTTTGGCTTCAACTGTTGGCAGGTATGTCTTTAGCTGTAAAATCTCATTGACTGGCTGCTTTCTGTTCTGATAAAAATCAAGTCCTGTGATCAGCTCCACATCCCTCACTCGTGCTCTGTGGGCCCAGATTCTCTCCTCAACCCACTGGGATTCCTCTTTGCCATCCTGCCAAAGAGCACAGGACTCGATCATTGATTTAGATACTTATAAAACAGAAAGCTGTCAAAGTCTGCCAAAATCAAAACAAAAAATCCTGGAAATGTAAACTTTATGGGCTTTACAGCTACCCAAGGATCTATGCTGGAAATACTGAACAGGTAGTTTGTTACATGTAGTTATTTTAAAAACATTTAAAATTTATTTTTAAAAAAAACATGAAACGCATTTTCTAAAAAGACACATAAAAAACATGCTTTTACACTTATCATGCTGCTAACACTAGTCACTTAATCTTGCTAGAGATGTCACAACACTACCAATGCTTCAAGTTTACTTACTGCACAGCTCTCACTGTTGTCAGGTCTGTGAGGCAGAATGAAAGCCAATACATCCAGTGAGGTATCACATGTTAGAGGAGTTTTCAAGGTGTCCTTGCAATTGGTAATGATGATATAGTAGTGAGTTGGAATAGGGATTTCCGTATTCTTAACATTCCTTCAAAAACAAAATGATCGATTTGAACAAGAAAGTACTTTATTAATTTACTACATGACCAGTGTGACCACTTTTTAAGGTTTATAATCTGCATGCCTACATCTCTCTTACATTCTTACATGTATATTCAAAGCAAGGACACTATTCATCTTTCTTTATTCCCCAAAATTTGCTATTTCACATTTCTTTGCAAAAAATCTGCAGTAGTCACAAAGATATTAACTTATGCCTTCCTGTAATTGGTTCCAATTTTTCTTACATCTTGTTATTCCTGTAATTTGGTGTATTCAGCAAACTTGTATATCACTACTCTTGTTCCTACATCACAATATTTATGCAGACAAAGATAAATGAAGACCCAGCATAGATGTGTGGGCAATTAGTATCCAATCCACTCATTCTGAAAACAATCATTTACTTTTACTATCATTTTCCATTCCACAATTTATGTTATTAATGGGGAAGACTCAGAAAGATGGAGATGTTGTCCTGTGTCTTTATAGTGAGCTGGTTTCACCACACTTCGAGTATGGAGTATAGTTCTGACCATTCTACCTCAAAACAGAGATGTAGTGAAGTGACTAAAGAAATACACAAGAATGATCCCAAGTGCAAAGGAGTTATGTTCTGAGAAAAACAATGAAGAAAATTAAACATTGGAGTTTAGATAGAATATTAAGGAGAATATCATTAAATTATAATATATATTGTATGTCCTAGATGAGTAAAGAATATTCTAGAATATTACTTAAAGTTAAGTTAGGCAAGACATATAATACAACCATGAATTTAACTCAGTCAAAAAGTAAATTTAAAAAGTGTCAAGCCTTCTTTACTCAAGTTTTGATAGAAATTTAAGATAATCTATCAGTAAGTATCAAAATCTTAAGAGGACTTCAAAATACAGTGACGCCACGTTGAGAGATTGAAATCCATTTCTCCAGTGTGCTTATGAGCTGAAAGGCCTTCATTTCTCATAGTTGACTCTTTACTGTTTGTTTTAATAGAATAAAAGGAGATGGTACTGGTATAGGTATTGAAGTGAATCAGTGACAGAAAGCAGATGATAGTAGTCTTTAGCCTGAAAGATGGTTTGCAATGGAGCTCCTAAAGGATCAGATTTGGTTCCATGACTGTTCAATTATAATAAATAACTTAGGATAGCAAGTAGCATTCTGATGTTTGCTGATTATAAATATGATGGAGAGAGATGAGGATAGTTGTAGTTGTCACCAGGGCCAGTAGATGTCACCAGGGTTGCATCTCCGGTTTTTCGGCCTCTTAGTCCATGTGATGTTATTAAACTGTAAGTCTTTTTTGCACCCTTTCCAAAGATGTTACCGAGACTGGAGGGTTTGAGTTATAAGGAGAGGCTGGATAGGCTGGGACTTGTTCCCCTAGTGCATATGAGGCTTGGGGTGACCTATAAAATCATGAGGGGCATAGATAGGTGAATAGCCAAGGTCTTCTCCCCAAAATAGGGGAGTTCACAACTGTAGGGCAAAGGTTTAAGCTGAGAGGGGAAAGATTTAAAAGGAACCTGAGGGCAACTTTTTCACATAGAGGGTGGTGCATACATGGAATGAGTTGCCAGAGGAAGTGGGAAAGGCGAGTACAATTACAGCATTTAAAAGACATTTGGACAGGTATATGAATAGAAAAGGTTTAGAGGGATATGGGCCAAATGCAGGCAAATGGGATAGGTCTGTTTAGGAAACCTGGTCGGCATGGACGAGTTGGGCTAAAGGGTCTGTTTCCGTGCTGGATGATTCTATGGTGTTGAAGGCAGGTGGGCTTTGACCTGAAGGTGCTCTAGTTCTGTTGAGAATGGGGTGATAAAGTCAGAGGTCAGGCACTGGGGGCCTCACTAATCTTCTCCCGTCTTTAACACAACCCAGCCCTGGGACCTGATGGACTGACAACAATTTACTCACAGTTCATTAATGTGTGGGCTGATCGACTTTAATCCAGTTTGATTCTTACTGGCTCTTCAGCTGCCTACCCTTCTATCACTCTTTACCAGTTTGTAGCTATCCTCCTTCCCTCAACCCTATGGCTGTCAGCCTTGTTAGACACAGTGACCCTCTTCCAACTTTCAAACACAATCTGCAAGCCACTCTACACATCTCCAAGTCCTGCAGCTTGCGGCCCCATTGCTGACCCCGTTGGGCAACACATGACACCGTCATGTACTGTCAACTAGCGACCATGAACTGCCCTCACCACTAATCAATGCCTGTCTGCCTATAAAGGTGACTCTCTCTTAAATGGATTCTTCATTTGTCACTAACTGTCTTCAGTGTTATGAGCTCAGCACCCTGAAGAACATGGATTTAGGTGATTTTCATCTTGAGCAACTCCCCTTCCTAGGCCTTGGATGTCAGGATGACAGAGTTTGGTGTAAGCATAGTGAATGGACTTCAAAGTCAAATGTGACGTGGTATACTTTGCAAGGATTAATATGGAAAGAACATGATGTTGAACTGAGTAAATGTGCACAGGCACCTAGACATCCACATTCACAAATCCCTAAAAAGATGACAGGTTAAGTTGATCTGCCAGGTTTAAAAATGGGTTATTTGGATTTATAATCAGAGGCATGTAAAATAAAAATTCAAAAATAGCTAGACTTTTATAAATCAATGACAGGGCTCAGCTGGAATCTTGAGCACAATTATAGGCACCACTCTTTAGGAGAGATGTAAAGGCATTACAAAGGGTACAGAGGCAGATAGTCAGGGTAATGGCTGGAATGATTGATGAGGAATACACTGGAAAAAGGTAGCATTGCTTTCCTTAGAACATAGATTTACAGGATGATGATATGTTTTAATTGAGTAAGTAATGACAAACTATTCCAAATAAAATATGAGCCAATAACCAGAGTTCAAAAATTTAAAATCTCCTGCAAAATATTCAGAATGAATATAAGGATAAGTGTTCTCAATCAAATTTGTTGGTCATCCTATATAGGTGTGGAAGTTAATTCCATAAATAATCTTAAAAGAGATTTGCACAGGTACTGGAGAATGAGTAATGTGCAGGGATATGAACAAAAGCACGGTTATGAGACTAAGCAAAAGTGCTCATCTGAAGAGCTATGACAGGGCTTAATGGACCAAATTATTTTGTTCTATGCTGTGAAATTCTATGATTCATTTTACTCAATACATATTAAATATATTTTTAAAATATTTATGCTTCAGCAATGCTGCCCCAAGAGGAAATATAAACTTTAAAGATATTGCAGGACAAATTTATTAGTGTCTACCTTTGAATTCTAACATAACTCTCGGCGATTTCTATGAAGTCACAGGGTATTTACGAAACACAGCATCACTGAAAAGTAATGGGAGTTACTTACCCCTGGATTATGTCAGGAGTATCAAACTGCCCATCGTAATTTAGATCAAACACAGGTCCACTGACCACATTGATGCCATTTCTCTGCTCAGTATACTTCAGCAGCAAAACATTATGAAAATAATTCCATATCTCTGTCAAAGAAACAAGAAATGATTTTGATCTCTTTCATCCTGCAGTATAAGGCTAAACATAAAATAAACAAAATAACTCAAAGTACTCTACCTTTCCACTGGCTAGTTGTTGGGTTTCTAACAGGCAAGAAGATTTAATACATGAAAAGAATAGACAGAAAACATGCAGGTGCCCACGTGATTCAATGCTTTCAATGCTGATGCAAAAATACTGAAATGCCTTGACTTCGAAATAACGCATAAATGGGTATTCAATTCCAATCAGCCAGAAGGACATCACACTTTCCAGGTATTAACACCAATAGCTTCAGCATAATCTGAACTTCAGTTGGCTTGGGTCTAATGTACAGTAGGAAGCTTGCATATTCATTTATGGTTGTTGATACATTCCTCATCTCAAATTAGACTTATTAAAAAGTTGGTGACCCAGAATATCACTTTTTATTTACTCATTCATTCATTCATGGGATGTGGCTTTTGCTGGCTGGGCCATTTATTTCCTATTCCTAGTTGCCCTTGAGAAGATGATGGTGAGCTGATTTCCGGAGATACTGTAGTCCATTTGATGTAGGTAGACCCACAATGCCAGTAGGGAGGGAGTTCCAGAATTTTGACCAAGCGACACTGAAATAACGAAGATATATTTCCAAGTCAGGATGATGAGTGGTTTGGAGGGCATCTTGCAGATGATGGTATTTCTATGTATCTGCTGCTTTTGTTCTTCTAGATGGTGGTTGTTGTGAATTCGGAAGGTGCTGTCCAAAAAGCCTTGAAGAATTCCTGCGGTGCATCTTGCAGATGTTACACACTGCTGCTACTTGGCGTTCATGCTGGAGAGAGCAGATGTTTGTGGATGTGGTGCCAATCAGGCAGGCTTCTTTGTCCTGGGTGGTGTCATTTATTAAATATTGAAGGAGCTGCACTCATCTAGGCAAGTAGGGATATTCTGTCACACTGTTGACTTGTGCCTTGTAGATGGTGGCCAGGCTTTGGGAAGACAGGATGCGAGTTACTCACTGCTGATTATCTAACCTCTGACATGCTCTTGCAGCCACTGTATGTATATGGCAAGTCCAGTTCAGTTTCTGGTCAATGATAACCTACAGAATGTTGATAAATGGGAGATTTAGTGATGATAATGCCAGTGAATGTCAAGGGGTAATGATTAGATTCTCTGTTGGTGATGGTGATTGCATAGCACTTGCTGCATTTGGGCATGGCCTGCTTCAGTATCTGAGGAGTCGCGAATGGTGTTGAACATTGTTCACTGATGACTGCACATCCCCACTTCTGACCTTATGATGGAGGGAAGGTCATTGATGAAGCAGCTGAAAATGGTTGGGACTAGGACACTACACTGAGGAACTCCTGCAAAGTTATTCTGGAGCTGAGATGACTGATCTCCAACTACCTTCCTATGTGCCAGATATGACTTCAACCAGCATAGAATATTCCCCTCCCTTCCCAAATTCCCAATAACTTCAGTTTTGCTAGGGCTCCTAAATGCCACACACAGTCAAAGTGATCTTGATGTCAAAGGCAGTCACTCTCACCTCACCTCTGGAATTTGGTCCATAAAGTCCAGTTTCATTTCTTTTTTGAGACTTCTTGGTGGTTTAGACATTGAGAGATTTGCTAGGCCATTTCAGAGGACAGTTAAGAGTAAAACACAATGCTGTAGGTATGGATTCACATGAGGGTCAAACCAGGTAAAGACTTCAGTTTCCCTACCTTAAAAGGAAATTAATGAACAAATGGGTTTTAAATGACAACCAACAATGGTTTCGTGGCCAACATTAGACTTTTAGTTACAGATTTCAATCAAGTACAGATTCCATCGTCAGCCATGGTGAAATTTGAACCCAGGTCCCCAGAGCACTACCTGGGTCTCTAATTAATTAGTTCAGCAACAATACCATTTAGCCAACACCTCCCCAAACCACACTTCTGTGCATATCTATAATTCCCAAATGTACAGTCAGTGTTTCACTTTGGTGTTATGTATGGATAGCTTACAGGTAGTTCAGGTAATTAGTTTAGCGAAAAATCTAACAGGGCGCATATTTGAAACAAACACTGAGAATGCCAAGAAACACAGCAAGTCTGGCAGCATCTGTGAAGAGAGAAACAAAGTTAAAATTTTGGGCCTAGACCGTCCTGATGACCTACTCCCCTACTCCTCTGATGCTGCCTGATGTGCTGTGTTCCTCCAGCTCCACACTGTATTGATTTTGACTCCAGCATCTTCAGTTCTTGCTATCTTAAAGTTAACATTTCGAGTCTGGTATGACTCTTCCTCAGAACCGCTCTATTAATACAATGCCATTAAACAGGAATATATCATCATGTGATTTTTTTGTGTAAGTTTAAACAGTGATGAATGGCTTTTAATCAAGTGTTCAAACGAGTCATAATAGCTGAGAGAGAGAGTTGATGTTCTATAAATCACAAAGAAACTCCTCAAACTATAAGCAGCTTGCTCCAGTCTATGAGCTTATCATTATTGCCATTAGCTAAGTTACTTCTCACAAACAGTTAGAATATTAAGCGATGACTCAATACAAGTAATTAACACATTCAATTTAATTTCAAATTGAGCTACAACAGAATTATCAAATGACCACAAAAAAAATCACAATTACTGCAGAAACAAAACATGGAAACAGACATTCCATTATGACAATTATTTGATCAAGTAATATGAAATATTCTTTGCTTACTTTGGAAGGCTTTGTACATAGGTACAAGGTTGCTGATGAATAGAGCTTCAAATTGATATTGTCCAGATTGCAAGTCTAGATAAAAAGTGGACATGTTTTAATGCAAAAAAAAAATGAAACTTGTTGTGAATGAAAGCATATTTGCCTGGATGAGTTTACTTTATTCAATGATAAAACTGGCTGCAGATACCAACTGAGACTGATATCCTTGCAGGAAGATTTTCTACTGTTGTTGGGAGGAGTTTAAACCAGCTTGTCAGGGCGTGGGAATCTGAGGGGTAACCCAAATTGAAAGCAGCAAAGTTTAACAGTAAGTCAAAAAGAAAACAAAAGAAACAAAGCTGAACACTGAGAATACTACAAATGTAAAATGATGTCAAAGAGGTAAAGTTAAGGGCACTTCGCCTGAATGTATTCACAAGGTAAATAATCTAAAGACACAAATAGATGCCCATGGGTATGATCTAAATGTTGTTACAGAAACCATGGCTACATGGTGACCAGGGCTGGGAAGGAATATTTAAGGGTACTCAAACTTTAAGAGGGACAGGTCAGGAAGATAGGGAGGTGGAGTTGCACTGATAATAAGAGACCGAATCAGTACATTAGTAAAGAAAGGTCTCACTTTGGAAGAACAATGTGTGGAATCCATTTGGGTGAAACTAAGAAACAGCAAAGGGACAGCAGACACTGGATAAAAATACTCATAGTCCACCAAATAGTAATGGTAATGTGGGGCGTGATATTAATCAGGAGATAAGAGGCGTATGTAGCATTAGCCACACAGCTATCATGGGAGACCTCAATCTGCATATATTCTGGGTAAGCTAATCGAATACAGCCTCACAGTGAAGGGGTGACCCTTTAGAATTGAAAGGAGGAGGAATTTCTTCAATCAGAGGGCGCTGAATGTGTGGGACTCATTGTCAATTCATTGAGTGCCTTTATATCTGAAATAGATGGATTCTTGATGATTAAGGGTATCAACGATTATGGGGAGCAAGCAGGAGAATGGGGTTGAAAAACATATCAGCCATGACTGAATGGCAGTCCAGACATGATAGGCTGAATGGCCTAATTCTGTTGCTATATCTTATGCAGCTTTAAAGCTGTGAAGGATGAATGTACAAGGGATGGTTTTCTACAGCAGTATGTTGAGGAGCCAAATATAGGCCATCCTATTTTAGATCTAGTTTTACATAATAACAGCAAATTAATAATTTTGTTGTTAAATAACTTCTGGGGATGAGCAACCATAGTATGAGAAAATTTTACATTATAGCTGAAATAGAGGTAGTTCAATCTGAAGCAAAGGTGTTATAAATTTGAATAAGGCAATTTATGAAGGCAAGAGGCAGAAATTGGCTGAGGTGGATTCGGAAAATACACTAAAAGGGATAACTTTACCTAGGTAATGGATAGTCTTTAAAGAGCTATTGCACGACTCTACAGCAACTACATATTCCTTCAAGGCACAAACTCAAAAAAGGTCACTCAACAGTGGCCAAGAAAGGCATCTCAGGATTACGAAAAATTAAATGGAAAAACTCTAAAATTGTCAGAAAATAGCAGTAATTCTGAGGACTGGGAGGTTTACACAACACAACAAAGGAGCACCACGAAACTGACAAGGAAAGGACGACTGGAATACAGACGCAATCTCACAAAATACATGAAAACAGTCTGTAAAAGTTTCTATAGATACATAAAAAGGAAACTTTTGGCTTAAGCACATGTGGGTCTATTACAGGCACAGTCAAGAGAATTTCTAACGGGGAGTAAAGAAATGGGAGAAAAGCTAAATGATTACTTGTGTCTATTTTCACTGAGGGAGATACCAGGGCTACAGATTTGAGTGGCTATGGAGAATCAGTTGTTGAAGGAAATTAGCAGTCGTGAGAAGACTGTACTAGAGAATTAATGGGGCCAAAAGTTGATAAATCCTTTGGACTTGACAGGATACATCCCAGACCGTTGAAAGAGGTGGCAACAAAGTTAGTCGATGCATTACTGTTTATCTTTCAAAATTGTCCAGATTCTGGAATGATTCCTATGGCATAGTCTGGTGAGGAAGAAGGATTCTAGGGAAGGGATAAGCCAACCACAGTTAACCAGGGATAGCATCAGATTGAAAGAACAAAATACAACGCAGCACAGATTACTGGTAAACCAGAGATTTGGGAAAGTTTTAAAATCCCGCAGAAGGCAACCAAAAAAAAACAAATAAAAAGAGGATGAAAATAAACCGTGAGGGTAAACATAAGTTAATTCAAGATGGACAGCAAGAGCTTCTTTAAATGTATAAAAAAGAAAAGAGAAGCCAAAGTGAGCATAGGCATCTAAAAGAATGATGCCGGCAAAATAATAATGGGGAACCAGGAAATGGCAGAGGAGTCTTCATAGTTGAAGACACAAACAGCATTGCAGCATTACTAAATATTCAAAGGGCAAAAGGTCAGGAAATAAATACAGTCATTGTCACTAGACAAAAAGAGCTAGAGAAACTAATGGGGCTAAGGACCGATAAATCCCCTGGTCCTGATGTGATGCATCCTAGGATACTAAATGAATTAAGTGCAAGAATGTGGACACATTGGTTATAATCTTCCAGGGATCCTTGGATTTTGAATAAATTTGAATAAAGGATTGGAAAACTGCCAAAAATTTAATTAGAAAGGGCAGGAGACACAAGACAGGTAATTTATAGTCCAATGAGCTTAACATCCATTATTTGGAAAATATGAGAGTCTGTTATAAAGTACTTAATAGCAAAACGTTTAGAAATGCACAATATGATCAAGCAGAGCCAACATGGCTCCATGAAGGGGAAATCATGGTTGATGAATTTAAGAGAATTCTTTGAGGAGTTAACAAGCAGAATAGATAAAGGGGAAGCATTGGATGCAATATATTTGAATTTTCAAAAAACAACTCGATAAGGTACCACGCATTTGGCTATTTAATAAAATATGAGCTCTTGGTGATGGAAGTAGCAGATTAGCATGGATAGCGGATTGGCTAACTAATAAAAGACAGAGTTGGGACGGGGAGGAGGGGCATATTCAGGTTGGCAACCTCTAAGTAGTGATGTTTCAGAGGGTCCAATGTTAGGGCCACAATTATTTACAATGTATATCAATGACTTGAATAAGGCAATGAATGTACTATCGCCACATTTACTGATGACACAAAAATAGGTGGGAATGCAAGTGGTGAGGGATGACACAAACATTCTGCAGAGAGATGAGGATGGGTTAAGTGAGCGGGTAAAAACGTGGCAGATGGAATATGATGTGGGAAATGTAAGGTTACGCATTTTAGGGCAGTACGGTGGCTCAGTGGTTAACACTGCTGCCTCACAGCGCCAGGGACCCAGGTTCAGTTCCAGCCTCGGGCAATTGTCTGTGTGGAGTTTGCACATTCTCCATGTGTCTGCGTGGGTTTCCTCCAGGTGCTCCTGTTTCCTCCCACGGTCTAAAGATATGCAAGTTAGGTGGATTGGCCATGCTAAATTGCCCATAGTTCAGGGATGTGTAGGTTTGGTACATTAGCCATGGGAAAAGCAGGGTTACAGGGATTGGGTAAGGTGATGGGTCTGGGTGGAATGCTGTTCAGAGGGTCAGTGTGGACTTCTTGGGCCGAATGTCCTTCTTCCATGCTGTGGGGATTCTAATGACTTCCATGCAAAAAGAATAGAGGAACTGAAAACTATTTAAATGGAGAAAGACTGCAAAAAGCTAAAGAGCAGAGGAATTTGGAAGTCCTCATTCATGAATCACGAAGAACTAGCATCAAAGTTCAGCAGGTAATAGGGAAGACAAATGGAAAGTGGGCCCTTATTTCAAAGGAATGGAAAATAAATGAGAGAAGTTTTGCTTAAAATGTACCAAGGCACTAAGCAGACCATAGCTGGAACACTGAATGGTTTTGAAGCCCTTATCTGAAGGAAAGAAATACTGGCATTGGAGACAGTCCAGAGAGGATTTTCAGACTGATCCAGGTATGGAGGGATTGTCTTATAAAGGAGAGGTTGAGTACATTGGGCCTTTATTCATTGAACTTTCGAAGAATTAGAGATGACCTTCTTGATACAAGGTTTTTAAGAGGACTCGATATGGTAGACGCAGAAAGGATTTTCTCCTTGTGTGAGAGTCTAGGAACAGAGGGCATTATTTCAGACAAAGGGCTCACATATTTAATACAGAGACTAGGAAAAATTTCTTCTTTCAGGGTAGTCAAGATGCAGAATCTTTTACTACAGAGGGCTGTATTTGTTGTGTTGTTAAGCATATTCAAGGCTGAGATAAACAGATTTTTAGATAGTAAAGGCATCAAGGGCCATAGGGAAAGGCATGAGAGTGGAGTTGAGAATTATCAGATCTGCCATGATCTCAATAGCAGAACAGGCTCAATGGGCTGAATGGCCTACATCTGCTCCCATATCTCGTGGGCAGACAGGGTGAATATGGGTTATATGTTTTCCCTGGTCGGGGAGTCTAGAAACAGTGAGTACAATTTAAAAATAAGGGGAATGCCACTTTGATCCATGATTAGGAGAACTGTTTTGCTCAGAGGGTGGTGAATCTTTGGAATTTTCTACCACATAGGCCTGTGGAAGCTCTGTCTTTGAGCTTATTTAAAAGTTCATATTGATAGATTTCTTTGATACTAAGTGGTGTACAGGGTTATGGGGATGGCGTGGGTAAAAGGCATGGAAGTGTTCTATCACCCACAACCATACTGAATGATGGGCAGGCTTGGTGGGCCTAATCCTGCACCTATGCTCCTATGTTCCTTTGATGGCATGATACTGACTTTGATTGAGAGTCACATTCACAATGTCTGAAACTCAAGATGTCACCTTACTATTTCAGCTAAAGAAATGCTCAATTCTAATATCAGATCATTGCAAAGATTAGTTTTCTTGTTGAATGTGCATTTCTAGTTTGAGCCTCTGAATCAAACATTTAGATCAATCTTACAGGCAGGCAGGAAGGGACTGTCAGGGTCAATGATTTCACATAAATAGGTAGTAGAGATCAAATATCTGAGTCAGCCATCCCTTCATAGATATGATGGAGCAGAATTAATGGGAAGTTCTGTTGGGACTTTTGTACATCACCCCCATTTTCACTTCTCCTGTTTGCTGCTGTCAAACAGCATAAAAATGGGCATTGTAGCCAAGGTTGCTGGGGGCCGGGGGGTATCCACATATCCTGGGAACTGTAATTTGAAACTGCAATAAGATGTTCTAATGCTTTTAATAGTGCTGTGAAAAGTGTTCAGGAACAGCTGAATTCTGCTACTGAAAAATATGATAACAAGTCTTAGATAATTCAACAGAAAAATTACAACAATAAAAGAGGTAAACAGCAGCAATCTATCCTATGCTTCAGCTACGATGGAGATATAGCGATTCTTCTTACTATTTGCAGGACATCTTATTTCCGATGTGAAACAACAGTTTGCATAAGTTGTAACGAACCTCTAAATAGCTCTAACAGAAATCTGAGGTATTCAAAAAGTTATATGTAATTTGAAGATGAATTGATGCTACACTTACTGGGTGGATAAAGGAATCCATAAGTTATGTCCTGATCTTTATTAATGTATGAACTTTGGTTTATGGTAGAAGGAATTCGAACATCAACAAGCACACAGTCTAAGATGTTTGGTAAAGGAGCAACTGAATTTTCCTGTTAATAAAACAAAATAAAAACCTTAATGTGCAAAAAACTTTCTACAATAAGGCTCTCAATAAATCAAAAGCTAACAATGTAACTAGAACAAACAGGCAGACTTCCTTCTAGCTCCAGTTCTATATTTTTTGGTTGGAGACAAAGTGCAAATGCATTTTATAAGTTACCACAAACATGTGCATTTCCAAATGAGTCCACTGATGGGTGCAAGGTGCACCCAGCACCTTAATGTCTGGCCTGGCCATGCTTTTCATTTCTCAGCAACGTTAGAGAAATGGGAAAAACAATTAACTGTTGGATGACACACAGTATAGTGCTGCAGTAAATTGAAGACACACCATTACTTGGTGTTTGGCTTGATGACTAAAAGTAGTAATAAACAGCTTTATGAGAAATGAGTACTCTTTGATGTCCTTTCTGCTATCAAAATAATTTTAAAAGTAAATTTCATCATCCTCACATTGCAATGCCTTTAGAAGTTACCAATGGCACGTCTAAAAAAAGAACTTCGTAAAATCCAACAACATTATAAATCCAAACCCAAAGACCTTGAAAATTACAAAAATAAGACAAATAAAACACAATAAAAGCTGTAACTGATTCAAAACAACTTCCATTATTTCTGCTTCTAGTCTCCAAACAGTGCAGAGGGGAACACCAAACCTCAGTTACTGAATATTGAAGTTGAATACATAAAGAAAGTATTGCGCAGGATAGGAATCTCCTAATTTCAGTGATTGAATAGAATTGCCAAGTACCTCCTCACCTGTAAAATGCTCAGTACAATTCACATTGCTCAACATTTTCTCATCACATATTGCACTAACTTCAAACAAAGAAAAATGTGCAGAAAAACCTACATCCTCTGGATATTGAAGCATTGGCCACTGAAAACAGTTTCTCCTTACTTATGAATTTGAACCACTATTTAGGTGAAAATTAAATGACCAGAAATAATTAAAATGAATTTTCACAGTGGGGAGAAACCGAATTTGATAGTGATTTCAGTGTCTCAAACAGCATTATGTCACTGTTGTAGTTGGTTGGCTTGCCGAGCTGGTTTGTTGTTTTTCCGCAGACGTTTCATTACCATGTTCGGTAACATCATCAGTGCAACCTCTGATGAAACGCTGTTGTATTTTCCAACCTGTTATTTAAACTCTGGTGTCCGTTGAGCTTGGTTACCTCAATTCAGGTTTTCCGTCACAGTTTATAATCCTACTCTATTCTCTTCATCAATTTCTTTGTCTTTCATTGTTGAATTCTACAATTCTCACAATCCGCAGCCTTACAATTATTTTGACAACTATCTAAGCCTCTCTCTTTCATAAAACATTATCTATACCTTCCCTTGTCAGCCATGGCTCTCTTGCTGTTCCTTTTGGGCATTTTTGCCTTAAAGGAATGTATGCTTTCTTGAAAACAAAGCATCTACAGTTGTTTCAGACAGTAACTCAGTTTCTCTCTCCATAAATGCTGCCAGACCAATTGAATTTCTCCAGTGTTTTCTGCTTTTATTACAATCTCCAGCATCTACAGTCCTTTGCTTTTATCTACAGTAGCTGTCAAGATGTGTACTTTACTTGAATAAACATCTGACCAAGTGCCAAGTCTCAACCAGAACATCTCAGCATAGATCAGTTCAGTGAGGATTTCCTAATTGCCTGCAGATTTAACGGTATACATTAAAATGTCCAACGCGCCTGCAGCCCCAGTCAAAAACAGTGAATACAATAAAAGAAAGATCTAATTCACAATATTCCTAGTTGAACATCCACTCACAGAAGAATCACCAAATTGTTAGGGTGTGGAAAGAGGCCATTTGGTCCATCGTGTCTACAGTGGCTCTCTGAGCATTTTAATTGTGTACCAATCTCCAGTGTTTACCCTGCATATTGATTATTTATATATAAACATCCAATGCCCTCTCGAATGCCTCAATTGAACCTGCCTTCACCACACTTCCAGGCAGTGCTCTCTACATCCTAACCACTCTCTGTCTGAAAAAAAACACCTCTCTCACCTCATTTCTTTTTTGCAAAATACTTTAAAACTGTGCTCTCAATCCATTTACAAGTGGGAACAGTTTCTCCCTATCCACTGTCCAGAATCCTTGTGATTTTTAAATCTTCTATCAAATCTGCTGATAGCCATTGCCTCTCTCAGGAAAGAAGTCACAACTTCTCCAATCTTTCCTCATAACTGAAATGTGTCATTCCTGCAACCATTCTCATAAAGAGGCATTATTTGGTTATAAAAGAAGTGTATGAATTCATGAGAAACCTAACTTTTAGATGGAAAGTAGAGTGAAGATGTCTGCAATTATATAGCACCTTTCACAATCTGTTATAAAGGGCTATATTTCATGACGTTACTGAAATAACTGCACAGAGGCCGGTATCCCATCACTAAGTCACCCTTTATTTACATGTGTACAGTTCACTGGCTGTGACCAGCCAGCTCAGAGTCAGTTCCTGATTTCAGGAATTCTGTGAATTGCCTGTTTATATCTGTCAGCCAGGGCTCCCTGATTGGGGTTGTTCGCCTGGGCCAATCAAGGATCTTATAGTTAATAAGATCTACCTGGTTCCAATCACTACATCAATTCCCCCCTAAGTCTAGGGATGTAGGCCTGGTCTTTCTCTGGTAGCTTCTCCCAGTATGTTTTTGCCCAAAGGTCTGGTTCCTCTGACTCTGACATGGGCAGCGTGTACCAGACTGTAGTCCGTCTGATGTCTGGAGTTTCTCAGGAGAGTTTCCTCCCCTTCGGTAATGGTATCGAGGCCACATCTATCTCAGACAAGACAGAGGAGGAGAACCCACAGTTTCTGAAAGGCCTTCTGGCCACTCTGAGGAGCCAGGTATGTTTTGCTCCTGCAGCTTCCAGGTGATCCACATGTTTGTGCAGGAATGTATCACCTACCCGAATGTTCTATGTCAAGGGACCTCATCTCACCTCGTAACCATACAGGGCCATTTCCATGGTTCCGGCGCCAAATTTTGTTCCCTGAATTAAATTTCTCTGTCGCTTAGAGGAAGCACATGGCTGGCGTTAGCATTCCTGCTGCCACTTCACCTCCCCCACCCGCATCCCAGGTCCGGCAATATCACGTTTAATCTGGTGCAAAGTCTTCTCCCCATGAGCGACTCTGCTGGAGCTATCCCTGTATTTGCTTAATCAAACAGGAACCGGCAGCAGGAATGCCAATGCTGGCCCCACGCTTCCTCTAAGCAAGTGACAGTTTACTTCAGGGGACAAAGTTTGGTGCCGGAACCATGGAAATGGCCCAGCATGGGTACGAGGCGGGGACAATGCAAGGTCAGGTCATGTGACATTGGGTAGGTGAGGCTTCCTGAATTAAACTCTCTCCCTTGCTTAGAGGAAGCATGTGGCCTGCTGCCGTTTCAGTTACAATCAAAGAAATTGGAACCACAATTTGACATTTCATTTGACAGACGTCACGTCATTTGAAAGCTCCGACAGTGTAATACTGCATTTATAGAGGATATTTGAACCCATGACCTTCCGTCTTAGAGATATGATATTACCACTCTGTTGAGGCTTACATTTAAGATTTTTAATCACAATTTGCATTTTCTTTAATCATATCTCAATATAGAATAGAACATCACAAAACTTGCCATCAAATCTTTGTCTGATGGAGCTACAATGCATAAAAACAGAACTAAAATAAAACTATTAGGAGGATTTGGATAGTTTAATTGAATTAATATTACAGTTGGAACAATTGTGGGGACTTCTCCCAATTCTTCCTGCAACTTCAGTGGACAATCAGTGGGAGCCCTGAAGAAATGGGGCAAATAGCCCATTAAATGATTCTCCAGTGAGCTCCCACAAAAGTCATTACAGATCTAAAAAATCCCTGTAGTTCTTCAACCCTCGCTGTTTTAAGTTTGCAATTGAAGCTGCTTTTAACACCATGGAATTTCCTAGAAAAAAAGTGTTCACGTGGTATTTGTTAACTTGTAAACAAATAAATGTAATTGCTGTTTGCCAACAAATATGAACCCTAAATATGACCGTACAGTTTCAATTGGAGTCAATGGTCTTTTTTTTTGGTCAATAAACTATCACATACAAGTAACTGAATTTTTATTCAAAGTCAATTCTGTAATTAATACACTTGTCTAAAGGGAAATTTTCAAAGAATATCAAATAAAAACAATGTAAATAACAAAAATATGATACTAATTGGAAACTTACAGTTTTGTTGACAGTGTATGCACTCCACAACGGCATTAGAATGTCATGGCTGTATCCACTTACATACAAATGTTGATGCAGGAGGCACCACTTACTGTTGTCCTGCAAAACTCTTGGTCGTCCATATGGCAAGTGATGCTCATTAGCCCCTTCAACTAGGAAATATAATATACAAAGTCAGCAACATTTGTTTAATACAAATAATTTCTAACAGTTGCAATGCAGTCACTAGACCCCAAATGTCATGCAATTTAAATAAACATAAGTGCATTGATCTGGGTATATCAGCATATGGGTCATAAATACCAGCTTATAATTGTTATTCAAATAGCATACAATATTCAAGAATTACCTCCTGGAGGAATATGTGGGTATTTAAAGAACTTTAATGAAAAAAAACAGAACACGTTGCAAACTGTAACGGCTAACATTAATATTCATACTTAAAGATTCAACTTGCAGAAATGACTCTCTTTTTGAAGTTTTAAATGTACCATCTATCCTCAGGTGAGATAAATTGCCTTCAAGTATAGTCATTTTAATATCTTTTAAATAATCACAGGGATTTTTTTTCTCATTGGTGCTTGAGAATTAGTAATTGACTTGAAGGAAGATAAGGCGCAGAGGATCACATATCTATCACAATGCTCACCCAACTTTTCTCTACCTACTTCATATAGGTAATTATGTCCAAATGCAAATCATAAAAAAGGCAGTATGAAAAAGGTAACAAAAACAATCAAAATTACATGCCTTCAGACCACCTCATTTAATTAGTAAATTAAGCATGAGCAAACAAGCCATCCAGATCTTACTTGCTTTTTAATCAAGGGGTCAAGAACAAATTAGTTACCCAAGACTCTATTCAGAGAAACAACAAAGGCTTGAAATAGTTCATTTTTGTATTACTACTTACGGTTTGTACAAACTCCCACAGGTGGGACTAGAAACAGTTTGCTAACTGCAGGTCATTACAATTCAGTCAAATTACTTAATACATGCTGGTAACATACTGGCATAGGGCCCTGCTGGTGTAACAGATTTGATTTGGTGCTTCATTTATGAAACTCTTCTCATGAAGCTACATATTAGAAAATACACTTCTAGTGATTTCCCATACATCAGGTGTAAAAAGTATGTGACAGCTCTATAGGTTTATGGTCCAAGTTAAGGGAGAAGTCAAATCACAGAGTGAAACTTGATTTAATATGAGTTACCATGGTAGTCAGTCATAGAAATACTCATGAGGCTGCCAATGTATTTTTAAATTAAATAACAAGCATATTACAGGAAATAAAAGAAATAAATGCTATAAGAGACAATTTGTAAAGGTCTTATAAACAATAAAAACAAAAATTCAATCTTTTTCCCCACCAATATACTTTATAGGTAGTTAACCTCAGTGAAGTATCACTCCTATATGCACTCATTAATTTCTTGCTAAACTGGTGTGGTCACAAGGGTTTCATTTTGGGACTTCCCGCACATTCACCAAACACAATTCTCTTTGTCTCTCCTGAAGATACACAATAAGTCAGCGAAGGATGTATTGCTGCAACTGTACAGGGCCTTAGTGAAAAACCACACCTGGAATACCATGTGCAGTTTTGGTCTCCTTATCTGAGGAAGGAGGTTCTTGCAATGGAGAGACTGTAAGGATTTACCAGACTAATTCCTGGGTTTGGCAGTACTGAAGTATGAAAAGAAACTGGATCGGTCAGGACTATATTCACAGAAGTTTAGAAAAATGCAGGGGGGGGTCTCATAGAAACCTATAAAATTCTAATAGTCCAAAACTAGAGGGCATAGATTTAAGGTGAGAGGGGAAAGATATAAAAGGGACCTAAGGGGCAACAGAGGGTGGTGCATGTATGGAATAAGCCGCAAGAGGAAGTGGTGGAGGCTGGTACAATTACAACATTTAAAAGGCATCTGCATGGATATATGAATAGGAAGGGCTTAGAGCAATATGGGCCAAATGTCGGCAAATGGGGCAAGATTAATTTAGGATATCTGGTTGGCATGGAAGAACTGGACTGAAGGGTCTGTTTCCTTGCTGTACATCTCTATGACTCTGTGACTAGACAGCGTACATGCTAAAATGATGTTCTAATGACTGGGGAGTCCAGAACTATGGGTCACAGTCTAAGGATACGGGATAGATCATTTTGGACTGAGATGAGAAAAAATGTCTTCACCCGGACAGCAGTGAGCCTGTGGAAGTCACTACCACAGAAAGAAGTTGAGGTCAAAATACTGAATGTTATCTGGAAGGAGCTGGATATGCATTTGGAGTCAGAGGGATCAAAGGATATGGGGGAAAAGCAGGAACAGGCTATTGAGTTGGACAATCAGCCACAGTCGGATGAATGTCAGAGCAGGCTCAAAGGGCCGAACGGCCTACTCCTGCTCCTATTTTCACAGTGAGCTTGAAGAAAAAATTCTATGGATCTTTCTAATTACTTTTGACCACTTTCAGGCTGCTAAACAGCACCATCTGCTGCTTTAGATCTTTTCTTCTAAACTGAAGAAGTTTCTGGCCTCTGACATTTCCATCCATCTTTCTTTCTGGGTCATAACAGCTCAACTTAGTGAGCACTTTAACAATTATCTCACTGGGTAGCTTGTCGAGGAAGCATGGGGAGAATGTGGGAACATACTGGGGACAAGGAGGCACAAGGAGGAGGAAACCTATCCCTGGTACAGTCACAATCTCACCAGGTTTCATCGGGTCCTGGGTAAAGTCCCCAAAGAGGAAGGGAAAGTGCCTTAAATGACCAATAATTGGTTTGAGAGGAGTCTTAATTTACCCATAGGCAAGCAGGTCACCTGCATCCCATCCATTTTAGGTAAAATACTCACCCGTTGGGCGGGGCAAGCTGATAATAAACATGATTCCACTGCCATGGTGCACTATTTTACACTGCCCCAATCACACCACAAGGCAAGTTATCAAAAGGCAGGCTAGCAGCCTTATAGTAGCAATTTTTGTTAATATCAGAGAACAGAGCTTCCAGTAAATGGTGTATTACAATATTAGCTTCATTCTTTCTAGGTATGGTAGAAGATTAATTCAAGGTTATAAAAAACCTGGTTAAAAAGAAATTATCAATCAGTTAAGGAAAGAGACATTGCAACTTTAAGTTTTAACATCAAAATATTCTAATACGTGCTTCCACATGTGTGACGACAACATCCAGGTATACCTCCCTGCCACCTTGCCGCTGTCTTTTCAAACTACTTTTCCGATCACTTGGTCCAACCATCCAGTTCTGAATGTGCTGAAATTTCCTCTAACTAAATATTGGAAAGTCTGATGACATTATCTCCAATTCCCACGACAAACTCCGTTTCCTCTCCCTGTAAACTGTATACTGCTGAAACAATTCATTCATAATCCTGCTCTCATGTTTGACTCGGAGATGAGTTTCTGGCCATGTATCTGTGCCAAGATGCCAATTTTTACCCTGTAAACTTTAGATGACCATCCTTGCCTCATATCAGCTTCTGCTCAAACCCCTTGTTACCTCTAGATTTAGTTATTACAACGCACTCTTTGCTGGTCTCAACCGTCTACCCTTAAGATCATCCAAATATCGGATACTTGCATCCTTAATCATTCCTGTGAAATGCCTTGGCATATTTTACTGCATTAAAACCACTACATAAATACGAGTTGTTGTTGTTGTTATGTGCAAAGCTACTGTTTGTTGTGTGTCCTAGAGTATTCTCAACATTTGTAGAAACATGTCCTGCATTGTAAATAACAAGTGGGAGGTCAGAGAGATTACTACAACTGATTATAATTTAATTATTCCAGCAGTTATTTAGATAGGCAGTGGTCCATTTGGATTTTTGCGGAAGTGAATGTGCAACTAAAACCGCGAAACCTATTAGAACATGGAAGATAGATGTTTACCTTCACTATGGGACAGTAATTTGTCGGGAAGAACATTATGTTGAACCCGACTGATTTTTTCCACTCAAAGCAACAGAATAATAGTCACCTGGCTTTTACAAAAGACAAATAAACTGCTCTGCCAGATACCACCCAGGCAGTAAAGATGAAAATCCATCCCAGTTTATGAGCCAGAATAGGCAACATTTGGTAACAATTATACTGTTACACTTTGTGTGGTAGTTTCCTACCTTCAATTGAGGAGAGTTTTAATTCCTTGCATGCATCTGCTGGTAACGATTCCTAAAAAATTGAAATATTTGTGTAAGAAACCAATGTAACAGCTTCTGAAAGCAGTTAGTTGATTGTCAGATAATAATTGCCACTAAATATCGTCTTCATTACCAGAGAACTGCATATGCAGTTTGTTTGTGGAATAACAGTTGGTCTAAACTTTGTTGAAGAACAAGATGATGTCGAGGATACTTCCTTGGAATGGGTAGGATTGTAGACAGGTTTCTTTAAGAGATGATTTAGACTTCCATGAGTTCCATTGTTGGGTGCAGGAGTGATCTGCAACAAATCTAATGCAAAGGATAATTAACATCTATGCAAAAAAAAACTTACTGCTGCGTCTTTTACTTAAATATTAATCTGACTTTGGTACTTTCAACATGTGCTGATATTTTAGCATTGCAGTTTTCTTTTCTTGTCATCTCTATCTGTAATTTTCTTAATTTCAGGTTCTATTCAGTTGTGTTTTAAAAGACATGTATGACTTATAACTGTATATCAATGCAGGCAATTAGGAAATCAGAGACATGAAATCAGTTTCTTTGTGCATTACAAAACGATAACATCAAGTAAAGATAATAGAATGGGCAGTAATGCCAGATAAAAAGGGAACATTTAAAGTAGCAAAGCTCCTTGATTTGGAAGGTGATAATAAAAAATAGAAACAGATAAACAAATATTATATTGCACTTCAGATATGCAAAAAGATAAGATAAAATCTACACATGGCTCAAGTTTTTTGATCAGTTAAATTCACAACAGTTACTTAATTTCACTTTCTTATTCAGAAGGATCACGAATGGAATTGCTGTTTTTGTATTATTGTTAGAAATGCAACAGCAAACGAAAGGCCCACTTTCATTTTGGAGCACACTCGCACCCACCACCCTGCCTCCGTCCTCCCTGGCCCCCACCCCCCACTCTCCGCCAGCTTTTCTCCAGCTTAAGGTGGTCATTACCTGGACCTTATCAGCCCAATCCTGTATTCTATCAAGTTCTCACGGTTGGGTAGTTTGTTTTATTACTGTAGTTTTGCATAATGCTGAAAAACCACAAAATCCTACTCATAACTTTCAACCACAACAGCAGACTAGCCAAAACCATGGATCTAATTATTTCTAATTACATGGTTCCCATAATGAACAGTTAGATAATTACGGTGGTGATAATGGAGAATGTAATTGAATTCAGTGAAATACAAATAAAGCATACGTACACATGAACCCAGAGTTGTAGGTCAATCCACCCGTAATTTGATAAGATTGTGGCTGGCTTGACTGCAGCCTCATCTCCACTTTGCTGCCTACCACCAAAATCCTACAATCCTTTTGTTAATCAAAATCTATCTACCCCACATTAAACATACTCAATGATGCCTCCACCAATCTCTGAGGAAGAGAACTCCACAGACTTACGACCCACGAAGAAAAATATAAAATTCCCTCACTGCTGTCTTTACACCCGTTATTTGTAAACTGTAACCTCAAGTTCCAGTTTCTCCCAGGAGGTGAAACAGCCTTTTCAGCATCCACGCTGTCAAGTCCCCTTCATTACTGAGTAAATGCCACTATAAAAATCTCCATGTCCTTACCGCACATCAGATTGTAGACTTCAATGTTTAAGAAGGGTTGAACTTCAGTTTTGGTTTTAAATGCAGGCCCATGGCCTAAAAAGATGGTCTGCCATTTAAAGAAAGTGGAAATGCAATTACTTTTCAAAGCAATAAACTATATTGCAAAAATTGCAACAATATTCAAAACATTTTCTCAGTAAGTAAGCATAATGCAAGATACATGATGATTCAGATCCTAAAAACTGCACCTTACCTGCATGTTCTTGAATTGATTATCAGAACCATGAAATCCCCCTGTACAATATTTCATCGGAGGCTTCCTGAGAAAGGAAATGCCAAACAATTGCCGTGTTAGCTCGAATTACAATATCACTTATGTAAAATTATTCATTCATTTTACTGTAGGCAAGGAAGCCTAAATTTGTTCATGAAAATGAGCATCAAATCCTACAAAAGACAACACAAAATGAAGGCGCCACAATAGTGAACCTGACATAAAGCAATGAAGTGAAACACTGTGTGCACCTTCATCAATGTTTCTATAGGAAGAAGGATGCATGGGATATTCCGCTTTCGTAATACAGCAAGGCTCCATCATTAACAGAGGCTTATTTGCCTGGTAGAAAATGTTGTAAAGGCTGGGTTGATACGAACCCAGTGTTTAGAAGCACGAGATGTGACATTATTAAAACATATAGGTTTCTGAAGGGGCTTATCTGGATAGAAGCTGATTTTGATGTTTATCCACATCAGGAACCTAGAATTAGGAGGTATAGTCCAAGGAGAAGTGGTTTCCCATTTAGTTTTGGAATTCTCTTCCATGAAGAGAATTGGATTAGTGATCAAGTCAAAGATTGTGAGTCAGGCAGGAAAGTGGAATTTAAAGTCACAGTAATTGAGTCATGATCTCCATGAATGGAAAATTAGACTCAACAGTTCAAAATGCCCATTTCCTCTCCTATTTCTTTTGAACCGACAATCCTAATGTGGGCAAAACCACTGCAAATGCCTTTGTTATGCAGGATTCCATGAGGCTGCATTATTAAAGAAACACACAGGGTGGAGTATAAGGCTACCTGATGTATCCATGTTGTATCTAATTTTTTGGCAATATTGAGACCAAATTCATTTCATGTATCTATGCCACATTGATACAATGTTGCTAGTAAAGGTTTTTGTTTATTTTCCACATTTACAGAATTTGTTTCACCATCCAACCATTTGTTTCACCATCCAACCATTTGTTTAACATCTTTTGGATAGTGTCTCTCAAGAGGTATTTATACACAGATTCAAGGGCTGAACATTTGTAAGACAGCCAGAAGTAACTGCCATATTTGTGTTAGTTGATCTCATGTCATGGACTACAAACGTTGATAAAGTGGCATTTGAACATGGCTCAAATGAGTAAACTTTCTTTCTTGACCTCGTCCTCCAAGGCTCAAATTCCGTACTTCTTTCACTCATGTCTTGCAATTGCCTTCCTCTATCCAGCCTGCCTCATGAACACAAATGATGGTACTTTTCCAAAATTTCTCCTTGGGGAGAACTTCACATCCGAATATCACTACTGCCTTCAATTTTATACCATCTGCCATACAAGATCAAACCACCACAAAACACATGGCAAGTCATCTTTACAAGATGTTTTCTTTTCTCCTCCCCACCAGCTGTGGTGATGGTCTTGCGAGCCTGTTAAATCTCTTCATCATTTTATCTACATTTCCAATGTAGACCAGTTGACCTGTATTCTTTTCTTGATGTCAGATGACAAAATGGTGGAGGTGTATGATTTTGTTGTTCAAATGGCAGATGCTGTGAAATGTTCATTTTTTGATAAATTGCACCTTTTCATGAACCTTGTGCACCAGCCACCATTAGCTCTGAATCCCGAAATACCACCTTTCTTCACTTGTCTCAGTGTGTGGAAGTCAGATGGCTCCATGGGTGATAATATGCCCATTTTGCCACTTCTCATTAAGCCACACTGAGACTTGTTTCTCAAGTTTAAATTGAGTTGAAAGCTGGTTATTTCCTCATTTAGGCATTACGATAGACCAAGTGGCACAAATTATTCTCATGGATTTGTTGGAGTATTGCTACTAGAATTGGCAAATGGAAAATCTAAATAGTCTCACACGTGCCTTTAAATGTAATGAATTCTGGCAATGACTGGTAAGTAACTTGACCAATGAAAATTTAGGTACAACTTTTCCACAATGTAGATCAAAAATAAAATTGGTTGTACATATATTAAAAAAAAAATTAGGTCTGGTTCAGAAAAGCTTTACCAGGATGTTACCGTGACTGGAAGGTTTCAGTTAGAAGGAGAGGTTGAATAGGTTGGGACTTTTTCCCCAGGAGCATAGGAAGTTGAGGGATGACCTCATAGAGGCTTTTAAATCATGAGGGGCAAAGCTAAGGTGAATAGCAAAGGTCTTTTCCTTTGAGTGGAGGAGTTCAAAACTAAGGGGCATATATTTAAGGTGAGAGGAGAAAGATTTAAAAAGGGACCTGAGTAGCAACTGTTTCGCACAGAGGGTGATTCATATGTGGAATGAACTGCCAGATGAAGTGGTAGATGCAGGTACAGTTACAACATTTAAAAAAACATTTAGACAGGTCCATAACAGGGAAGGTTTAGAGGGATATGGGCCAAACACAGTCAAGTGGGACTAGTTTAGTTTGGGGAAGCTTGGTTGGCATGGAACAGTTGGACCGAAGAATCATACAGCATGGAAACAGACCCTATGAAGATCATGGGCTTGACTTTGACATATATGGTATTTACTGCCTTGACTTTATTGACAAAGGGAAACAGGAGGGCCTCTCCTTTTTTAAAAGCAAAGGGAACACCAGTTTTCTCAGGCGATATTAGACTAACTGAGATATGTAGGAAAATTTACTAAACCAATTAGCAATTGTGAAATGTAGCCCACATTCAATAATTCCCATGAACAAAGTAACTGAAACACATACAGAAAGATGAGAGAGAGCGTTACCATGGCGCCTACTTGTAATTAGATTGTTTGCAGCAATCATGCTTGAAGCTGAAATCATTATTTTTTGATTGCTTTTGTGCCTATTAGAATTCACCGTCTACAAAGAATTATCCATCTGTAAATAATTTAACAAGTAGAACTAAGTTATAAAGTTAAAGCAGAGAGGTTGGATATAGGCTGTTAGATAGAATTTGTGGAAACAACAGAAATAAGTATTGTATATGGAACTCTTGTTCCAGTTCTATATTAGAGTGAGACGTCCGTTAGTGGGTTTTCAACAGACACTGCATGACCTGCTGTGGGTTTCCAGTGTTTCTATTTTTTAATATTCTCAGTATCTGTAGCATTTGGCTTTTGCTTAACTTGACATAAAAACATAGAATATAGGAGGAGGAGTAAGCCATTCAGCCCTTCAGGCCCAATCTACCATTCAGTACAATCATAGCTGACCATCCAATTCAGTACCCTGTTACTGCTTTCTCCCCATATCGCTCGATCACTTTAGTCCTAAGAACCAAATCTAAATCTTGAAAGACTTCAATGATTCAATCTCAACAGTTTCCTGTGGCAGAGAACGCCACAGGCTCACCACTTACAGGTTGGCCTGCCATTGTGGATCCAAATACAAATGAACGTCTTCAATTCTTCTACTGTTGGCATAATGGAAGCGCTTTGGCAAGAATTGCTTCAGATAGGGTATAAAGTGTTGATTTGGTGATCTGCACTAATTAAACATCAAAACAAAACCCCATTAACTATTTGTATTACATTTCAAAATTACTACATTAGAACTTAGCTTAGAAGAGTTCCCATATCAAGAGATTCACAAGGCAAACAGATTATGTTCATTTTCATTAGCTTGTTTTCCTTGGAGCAAGTCATTAGCCTGAAGGTGGAGGTAATAGATTGGTTAACCATCACTCTGCATCAAGCATGGCTGACCAGGACATTATTTTGTTCACTCGTAGGACATAGGTGTTGCTGACTGGACCAGTGTTTACTGCCTGACCCCAGTTGCCCTTGAGGAAGTGTCAGTGAGCCGCCTACTCGAACCACTGCAGTCCATGTGCCGTAGGTGGACATACAATGCCATTAGTGATGGAATTCCAGGATTTTGACCCAACTACAGTGAAGGAATGGCAATATATTTCCAAGTCCAGGGTGAGTGACTTGGAGAGGAACTTGCAAGTGGTGGTATTCTCATTATCTGTTGCCCTTGTCTTTTCTCTGGTCATGGAAAGGTGTCAGGGGAATCTAAGATTGTTTCAGGCTTTTTGGTGAATTTCTACAGTGCATCTTAAGTCGATGGTTGTAGATATTATGCCAATCAAGTGGGCTGCTTTGTCCTGGATAGTGTCAAGCTTTTTGATGATTGTTGGAGCTGCACTTATCCAGGCAAGTAGGGAGTATTCCATTACACTTCTGACTTTAGAGATAACAAGGTGTGGAGCTGGATGAACACAGCAGGCCAAGCAGCATCAGAGGAGCAGGAAGGCTGACGTTTCTGAGGTCCTTAAGTGACTATTTAACTGAAGAAGGGTCTAGGCCCATAGCCACTTAAGGACCTCAGAAACGTCAGCCTTCCTGCTCCTCTGATTGGCCTGCTGTGTTCATCCAGCTCCACACCTTGTTATCTCAGATTCTCCAGCATCTGCACTTCCTGAAACACTCCTGACTTTGCCTTGTAGATGGTGGACAGGCTGTGGGGAATCAGGAGGGGAGTTACTTGCTGCAGTATTCCTAGCCGCTGACCTGCTCTTGTAATGTGGCAAGTCCAGTTGAGTTTCTGGTCAATGGTAACCCCCAGGATGTTGACAGTGGGGGATTTAGTAATGGTACAACCACTAAATGATAAGGGACAATGGTTAAATTGTGTCTTATTGGAAATGGTCATTGCCTGGCATTTGTAGGGTACTAATGTTTTTTTTCTCCTCACTTGTTAGCCCAAGCCTGGATTTTGACCAGATCTTGCTGCACTTGGACACGGACTGCTTCAGTATCTAAGGAGTTGCGAATGGTGGTGAACATTGCCAATGATTGCACAATCATCACCACTTTTAACCTTATGATGGAGGGAAAGTCATTGATGAAGCAGCTGAAAATAGTTGGCCCTAGAACATTACCTTGAGGAACTCCTGCAGAGACGGACTGGAGCTGAGATGACTGAACTCCAACACAACAATAACCATTTAACCAGGTATGGCTCCAACCAGTGGATATTCAAGTCCCCCCCCACTCCACCACCACCACCACCACCACCACCACCAATCACCCCACTCCCAATTCTCATTGACTCCAGTTTTGCTAGGGTTCCTTGATGCCATACACAGTCAAGTGCAGACACTCTCACCTCACCTCTGGAATTCAGCTCTATTGTCCATGGTTGAACTATAAAGTAATGAGCTGACCACTTTACCAACTACAGTTGGACTGGAAGGGTTAAGGTTGATAAATGATCCCACTTGGCCACCTCGCACAATCAAGTCCTGCTGTGGGACTCCAACATGGAGTTTCTGGCACAGAAGCAGGAATGCAACCCTCTGTCTCACAAGTCCTCCTTTAGATCGTAACTTCCACTTTATATAACTCAATTATCATCATGATTATTCAAGTAACATATGAAACCCATCAAGCTTATGAGAAAGATGTAAAATTTACTTACAGCAAGCTTTTTTACAAGACCTTCTGAATCAACTGGAAAACAAAACATGGAATTAGCCACAATACAAAAGACTGGTTAAAAAGAAATACATTTAGCCTGCTGATATCCACCGTCCAACTACCTATCCAAAACGACAAGCTGAAGTCCCAGATTCTAGCCCTATCAATGTCATTCAATGAACATAGATGGATAGGAGGAGGCTGTTTCCTTTATTTTTCTACCCTTTCCCCTGAGGACTATTTAAATAGTGCTGGATTATTATTTAAATATAACTATTTAAATAACTTATGTGATAGCAGAGGGGAATGGAAAACTCATGTTCTTCCCCTGTTTTTTTGCGGATCAATACCAGGACTGAATTTAATATTCACATTCCCTCCCGCAGACTGGGTTGGGAGTCATGGTTTCTACTTAAAGGGGCAGGAGGCAGATTGGCTTAGAGCTAGTGAAGTCAGGGTAGAGAATGATATGAATGCCCATCCCATCTCTTGGCCAATTTAAGTCTTTGGGTAGTCAATTAAATAGCCACTTAAGGACCTCAGCTTTCCGCTGCTGGAATTCCAGGGGTAGTCATGCCATGTGGGAAGGTCATACTGTGGAGAACTTGCCCAAAGCTGGTCGGAAGGTCTGGGTAGGGTAAAATCCTGTTCAGGCACCCTTTGACCAAATGTCACCCCCAACCCACGGAGGCATGAACCATGCCACCACAAGCAGAGCCCTCTTCACCCTTCAAAGCAATTTCCCCTCAACACCCCTTTGTAGGCTTTGCCTAACTGGCCTCATCTTGGTCTTGAAGGAAATGCTGGCAAATGGGACTAGGTCAGATTGGGATGTCTCATTGGTGCGGATGAGCTGGACCGAAGGCTCTGTTTCCATGCTGTATGACTCTATGACTCCAATGCTGTCAGTCTGTCCCCTTAGCCCCCTGCAGTCCCAGCAGTGGGCACAGCTCCTGGAGGCTGTCTGAGGCTGGCCATTTCTCCTGGAGGCTCAAGGAACCCTGCTGGCAGGCGGGTGCCCGATCTGACTTCAATCACTTTTGAGCTCCCAGGAATGGCCCCTGCCGCTTAGCTGCCAGCCAGTTCTCCAGTTAGTGGATGGGCTTACAGCAATGGGCAGTAAATTCAGTCCCGAAAATTCATCGAGTCTCAAATACCACCCTCGTATCCATACCACAGAGTCCCTACCCCATTCCCCCCATAAAACTCAGATTCACTCTTCACTGTCATGTTGGTTCAAAGGGCACCCCATCTTGGGCTGTCAAGTTGCACATCGCCCATTTCAGTGCTGAATAAATGCACTTTGAATGATTGCTATCCTCACCTTCTACACACACTTCACCCGAAGTACATCTCAGCTTTAAAACTGATAAGGAATAAACATCAAATACATGGACTAAAATAAATAAATAATGAAAATGAGCATTGTAGCTCATTTTCACAGAATAACGAACAGCATTGTAGATATCAAACTTTAAAGCAACAGTACAATTCACTGAACATTCATAAAGTGGAATTCGACTTACCCACTCATTATAAACCTAGATCATCACCCATTAACTCCTACTCGGCAAATTATTGTTGAGTGAGTGTTGCCCGGTAACCCTGTCAGTGGCACCTTCCATCATACACCCAACTTGGTTAACAAACAGCAAATTCTCACATTGACCATACAAAATGTCATGGGAGATCTGCTGCTAATTACATAAAAACCAGAAGAGGCAAAATGGAACGGAAATAAATCAGGTTCCAATTTGAAAGGGATGGGAAAAAGGTACATGCACACTTTTAATCAAACCTCAAAACAGATCTATAAAGAAAATTTGGGAGTTTCTCAGAATTGCACCCAAACTGACTGTGCGGCACACAGCTGTATGAGGAGCACTACAAAACAGGCCAAAGGAGCAAGAGAGACCCTGCTGCTAGACAAAGAGAGGGTGGACAGGAGGGTGAGAGAGGGCGCGAGAAAGAGAGAGAGGGCTCGAGAGAGAGAGAGACTGCGAGAGAGGGGGCGCGACAGAGAGAGAGGGCACGAGAGAGAGCGCGCGAGAGAGAGAGGGCGCGAGAGAGAGGGCGCAAGAGAGGGTGCCAGAGAGAGAGAAAGAGGGCACGAGAGAGAGAGAAAGAGAGGGTGCGAGAGAGGGTGTGAGAGAGAGAGAGAGGGCGAGAGCGAGAGGGTGTCAAGAGTAAGTGAGTGAATGAGTGAGTGAGTGAGTGAGGCTGGAAGATGACCTTGGGGGTCTGGTGGCTAACAGAAACACTCTTGCTCCTCCCAGTCACAGCGTGGGTACAGACAATTTCCCTTTAAGTGGTCCTCAGCCCCTGTGAGCTGCCAAGTTTACCAAGGCCCATGAAGCATGATTGAACATGATTAAACATTTACAGAACAACAATGAAGTGGTGCCGGCATGGTAGGTAGGTGCTTGGGCTCGTTGCGGAGCTCGTCCACTCCCAATTTCTGAGGAAGGGTCTTGGCCCGAAACGCCAGCTTTCCTGCTCCTCTGATGCTGCTTGGCCTGCTGTGTTCATCCAACGTTACACCTTGTTATCTGGTTTTCTCAATGTATTTGTCTTTTTCCTTTTCTTCTTTTCTCCTTTATTCGAGACCGGAGCAGTGTCGCCAGCATGAAACGGGACTCCTGGTGGCAGCGGTGGTAGGCTTGAAGCCTGGACTCCCAAGGCAATAGGCTGAGAGCCTAGACTCTGGGTGGTGGTGGTGGTGTTCTGGCAAGGAGTCCTGGTGAAGGGAGGCCCAGAGTCTGGACTCACGGCGGCGGTGGTGCCTGAGGCTTGCACTCCTGGCTGACATAGGCCTGGAACCTGAACTCTTGGCAGTAACGGAAGCGGGGACTCCTGGCAATGGTAGACCCAGAGCCCTCGAGAAAGCGTCAGTGAACTCAATAATAAATTTCAGTCTTCAGCCAATTCTATTGACCCAATGTGACATCAGAAAATGGCTGAAAGCACTGAAGACAGAAAAGGCCATGGGCACTGAAAACATCCCAGCTGTAGTACTGAGGACCAGTGCTCCAGAATAAGCCACAACACCTTTCCAGAACAATTACAATACTGGCATCCAATAGACCAGGTGGAAAATTGCTTAAATATATCCTGATCACAGGAAGCAGGTCAAATCCAATCCACAGAATAATCTCAATCGTCAACAAGTGATGGAAGGTCTCATCGACAAATTCTATCAAGCAGCACTTGTATAGCAACAACATGCTCATTGATGCTCAGACCGTGGTCTACCCAATGCTCCTGACCACCTTACCTTGGCCTTTGTACAAACATGGAGAATTCAAGCATCAGGCAAATTTAACCGATTTGAGTTTTTTTTTGAGGAAATAACCAGAATGATTGATGAGGGTAGTACAACTGATATAAACTACATAGATGTAAGAATGACTTAAGGTAGTCTGGTTAATAAAGAAAAGCCCATGGAATCCAGGGCTGGATGCAAAATTGGTTCAGGAGCAGGACATGAAGGGTAATTACTGATGGGGGTTTTTGTGATTCGAAGGCTGTTTCCAATAGATTTCCATAAAGCTCAGTACTCGGTCCTCTGTTTTTGGTGATGTACATTAATAATTTGGACTTTTGCAATATCTGGAAGTTTGTAAGTGACACAAAAATTGTTTGTGTGGCAGATAGTGAGGAGGAGCAGCGCAGGCCAGTCTGTCAAATCTGGTCCATCATTGTGAAATCAGACCAAATCTGATCTTTAGCTTAATTATCTTCAACCATCTTTGCTCCTTAAACCTGGATACTGTGATGAAACTGAGAGATTTACCGAAGTATTCTAATACCGTGTACTGCATGTAATTCTTGGAATTCTAAGTTATATGTATGTGTTTGTCTGTGTGTTTGGAGTTAATAATAAGCCTTTAAAAACTATAATGTGCATAATTTCAAACAAGAGGAAGTCATCCAGGAGTTCCTAGGGAACTATTGGAAGGGCTTAGGATAAGACCTTTTCTGTGTTAGGAAGTAATTTGAGAGAGAAGCATGTATGGAGCACTGCAGTGCTGAAGACCACTTTTGATGGAGTAACTTGTGCTAAGCCATTTTCCTAAGTAAAGGAATCTAAAGTAAAGAAATTATCTTCGTTAAAAAGTTATTATTTATCCCAGATTGGAAATCTGAGATACAGTCAGTGGAAAAGAAGTGAAGTTAAGCTTTTGATTTTTTTTCAGAAAAGAAGAAAACGAGTAGAAGCTACATCAAAGAACAAAGAAAATTACAGCACAGGAACAGGCCCTTTGGCCCTCCAAGCCTGCGCCGATCCAGATTCTCTATCTAAACCTGTCGCCTATTTTCCAAGGATCTGTATCGCTCTGCTCCCTGCACATTCATGTATCTGTCTAGATACATCTTAAATGATGCTATCGTGCCTGCCTCTACCACCTCCGCTGGCAACACGTTCCAGGCACCCACCACCCTCTGCGTAAAGAACTTTCCATGCATATCTCCCTTAAAATTTTCCTCTCTCACCTTGAAATCGTGACGCCTAGTAATTGAGTCCCCCACTCTGGGAAAAAGCTTCTTGCTATCCACCCTGTCTATACCTCTCATGATTTTGTAGACCTCAATCAGGTCCCCTCAACCTCCGTCTTTCTAATGTAAATAATCCTAATCTACTCAATCTCTCTTCATAGCTAGCACCCTCCATACCAGGCAACATCCTGGTGAGCCTCCTCTGTACCCTCTCCAAAGCATCCACATCCTTTTGGTAATGTGGCGACCAGAACTGTATGCAATATTCCAAATGTGGTCGAACCAAAGTCCTACACAACTGTAACATGACCTGCCAACTCTTGTACTCAATACCCCGTCCGATGAATGAAAGCATGCTGTATGCCTTCTTGACCACTCTATTGACCTGCGTTGCCACCTTCAGGCTACAATGGACCTGAACACTCAGATCACTCTGTGCATCAATTTTCCCCAGGGCTTTTCCATTTACCGTATAGTTCGCTCTTGAATTGGATCTTCCAAAATGCATCACCTCGCATTTGCCTGGATTGAACTCCATCTACCATTTCTCGGCCCAACTCTCCAATCTATCCATATTCTGCTGCATTCTCCGACAGTCCCCTTCACTATCTGCTACTCCACCAATCATAGTATCATCTGCAAACTTGCTAATCAGACCATCTATACCTTCTTCCAGATCATTTATGTATATCACAAACAACAGTGTTCCCAACACGGATCCCTGTGGAACACCACTGGTCACAGTTCTCCATCTTGAGAAACTCCCTTCCACTACAACTCTGTCTCCTGTTGCCCAGCCAGTTCTCTATCCATCTAGCTAGTACACCCTGGATCCCGTGCGACTTCACTTTCTCCATCAGCCTACCATGGGGAACCTTATCAAATGCCTTACTGAAGTCCATGGATATGACATCTACAGCCCTTCCCTCATCTATCAACTTTGTCACTTTCTCAAAGAATTCTATCAAGTTGGTAAGACATGACCTTCCCTGCACAAAACCATGCTGCCTATCACTAATAAGCCCATTTTCTTCCAAATGTAAATAGATCCTATCCCTCAGTATCTTCTCCAGCAGCTTCCCCACCACTGACGTTAGGCTCACTGGTCTATAATTACCTGGATTATCCTTGCTACCCATCTTAAACAAGGGGAAAACATTAGCAATTCTCCAGTCCTCTGGGAACTCACCCGTGCTCAAGGATGCTGCAAAAATATCTGTTAAGGCCCCAGCTATTTCCTCTCTCGCGTCCCTCAGTAACCTGGGATAGATTCCATCCGGACCTGGTGACTTGTCCACCCTAATGCCTTTTAGAATACCCAACACTTCCCCCCTCCTTATGCCGACTTGATCTAGAGTAATCAAACATCTATCCCTAACCTCAACATCCATCATGTCCCTCTCCTCAGTGAATACTGACGCAAACTACGCATTAAGAATCTCACTCATTTTCTCTGACTCCTCGCAAAACTTCCCTCCTTTATCCTTGAGTGGGCCAACCCTTTCTCTAGTTACCCTCTTGCTCCTTACGTACAAATAAAAGGCTTTGGGATTTTCCTTAACCCTGTTTGCTAAAGATATTTCATGACCCCTTTTAGCTCTCTTAATTCCGCGTTTCAGATTGGTCCTACTTTCCCGATATTCTTCCAAAGCTTCGTCTGTTTTCAGTCACCTAGACCTTATGTATGTTTCCTTCTTCCTCTTTGCTAGTCTCACAATTTCACCTGTCATCCATGGTTCCCTAATCTTGCCCTTTCTATCCCTCATTTTCACAGGGACATGTCTGTCCTGCACTCTAATCAACCTCTCTTTAAAAGCCTCCCACATATCAAATGTGGATTTACCCTCAAACAGCTGCTCCCAATCCACATTCCCCAGCTCCTGCCGAATTTTGCTATAGTTGGCCTTCCCCCAATTCAGCACTCTTCCTTTAGGACCACTTTCGTCTTTGTCCAGGAGTATTCTAAAACTTACAGAATTGTGATCACTATTCCCAAAGTAATCCCCTACTGAAACTTCAACCACCTGGCCGGGCTCATTCCCCAATACCAGGTCCAGTATGGCCCCCACCCGAGTTGGACTATTTACATACTGCTCTATAAAACCTTCCTGGATGCTCCTTACAAATTCTGCTCCATCTAAACCCCTAATACTAAGTGAATCCCAGTCAATGTTGGGAAAATTAAAATCTCCCATCACCACCACCCTGTTGTTCCTACATCTTTCCATAATCTGTCTACATATTTGTACCTCTACCTCACACTCACTGTTGGGAGGCCTGTAGTACAGCCCCAACATTGTTACCACATCCTTCCTATTTCTGAGCTCTGCCCATATTGCCTCACTGCTCGAGTCCTCCATAGTGCCCTCCTTCAACACGGCTGTGATATCCTCTTTGACCAGTAATGCAACTCCTCCACCCCTTTTACCTCCCTCTCTATCCCGCCTGAAGCATCTATATCCTGGTATATTTAGTTGCCAATCTTGCCCTTCCCTCAACCAATTCTCAGTAATAGCAATAACATTATACTCCCAGGTACTAATCCAAGCCCTAAGTTCATCTGCCTTACCTACTACACTTCTCGCATTAAAACAAATGCACCTCAGACCAACTGTCCCTTTGCATTCATCATCTGCTCTCTGCCTACTCTTCCCCTTAGTCACACTGACTTCATTATCTAGTTCCTTACAGGCTTTAGTTACTATCTCCTTACTATCCACTAACCTCCTCATTTGGTTCCCATCCCCCTGCCACATTAGTTTAAACCCTCCCCAACAGCATTAGCAAAAGCACCCCTAGCACATTGGTTCCAGTCCTGCCCATGTATAGACCATCCGATTTGTAATAGTCCCACCTCCCCCAGAACCGGTCCCAATGTCCCAAAAATCTGAACTCCTCCCTCCTGCACCATCTCTCAAGCCACTCATTTATCCTGCCTATTCTTTCATTTCTACTCTGACTAGCACGTGGCACTGGTAGCAATCCTGAGATTACTACCTCTGAGGTCCTACTTTTTAACTTGGCTCCTAACTCCCTAAATTTTGATTGTAGGACCTCATCCTGTTTTTTACCTATATCATTGATGCCTATATGCACTACGACAGCTGGCTGTTCACCGTCCCCCTTCAGAATGTCCTGCAGTCGATCTGAGACATCCCTGACCCTTGCACCTGGGAGGCAACATACCATTCGGGAGTCTCGTTTTCGACCACAGAACCGCCTATCTACTCCCCTTACAATCGAATCTCCTATGACTATAGCCCTTCCACTCTTTTTCCCGCCCTTCTGTACAGCAGAGCCAGCCACTGTGCCATGAATCAGGCTACTGCTGCTAGTCAGGGGTAGTGTTGCACTAGGAGGAAGCTGAGACAGGAGGAGGATAATGATGATGATGATGAAATATGCTCATAGTAATAAAGAAAGAGTTATCTACAGTTCCAGTAGATAAGTTGAAATTTGAATTACTTCAAGCCCAATGTATTGAAAAATAAAAGAATCTCTATCATTGGACATGAGCAGGACTAGGTCCTGCTAAAGGTTTAGCTAGATTAACTTAGAAACGTAACAATGTTTGGGAGCTGTGCCAGGTTGCACTAATTCTAATGCAAAACTGGTCTTCTGTTCAATCTATATAGATCGCTTGGGTTATTTCTATTGTGAACATCTTTGAATCAGCGCTATGAGAAAATAGAGCTTTTTTGTTTATCTTCATTTCTATTTTTAATAAACGTTTGATTTATTGTTAAAACAAAGACAGCAACATCACGTGTTTTTGTTTTAGTAAAAGATCAATTTGGTTACAAAAAAAATTATAATCCATTCAGCCACATTTCAGTCAGGGATCTGACTTGTCTGGTACTAACATCAACTAAGCATTACCCCATAATAACTGAGGCCACTAGATCATAATAATATCTTAACCTAATAATGCTAGTTTCAATCTTGAAATCTCAAACATCCCAAGCAGGCATCCATAGCTTCCTGGCAAGAGGCATTTGTCACACACAAGATTCCAATTTTCCTCCTAAAATGCTTAGCTCTAATTTAAAAATCATATACCACCAGAGGAAATAATTTCATGGGAATCTACCCTTTCAACTCATTTTGACATTTTAAGCAGATCATTTGCATCATCCCACAATATCCAATACTATAAATACACTATATGTCACATTTATGTAACCTGCCTTTACATTTTGAACATATGAGGTGTTAGCTTGAGCAGGTTCTGACAACACAGCAATCCCCCCACACTTTAGGTAATAAACTTCAACTTAGGGCCACATAGTGGCTCAGCGGTTAACACTGCTGCCTCACAGCGCCAGGGACACTCGTTCGATTCCTCCCTCAGGCAACCTACCGTGAGGAGTTTGCACGTTCTCAGTGTTTGTGTGGGTTTCCGCCAGGTGCTCTGGTTTCCTCCCACAGTCCAAAGATGTACAGGTTAGATGGATTGGCCATGCTAAATTACCCAGTGTCCACGGATGTGTAGGTTAGGTGCGTTAGCCGTGGGAAATGCAGGGTTGCAGGGATGGGGTGGGGGTTAGGTCTGGGTGGGATGCTCTTCAGAGAGTCAGTGTGAACTTGTTGGACTGAATGGCCTGTTTCCACACTGTAGGGATTCTATGAATTTTTCTAAGAACCACGAGAACATCAGGATTATTCTAATCATGTCAATGGGGTTAGAAAGCAAGTGGACACACTTCAAGTATTCTCAGCAGCTGCCTTACATTTTGTCTGGATGGGACAGACAGTATGGAACATGCATTGTGCAAACTGTCTCCTGTCATTTCCTTGCTGATAAAATACTGCTGCAGTAGTCACGTGCATTTTTGTTGATTCTGGGAAAGTCAACAGCATAAAGATCATACCTTTGTTTCTCATCCTCTTGCTGAGCAGCCAACATGATTTCATAAAAGCAAAATGCTTTGCTAATTGGCTGCTTAGATAATATCAGAAATGTTTAATTCTTTTGATTACCTACATGTGAAATATTCCTCAGGGACATTTTTGGCTCTTATTCGACCAGCTGCTCCGTAACGCAGCTCGATGTTCTGAATGTTATCTAAATATTCACTCAAATATTCAACCTTATCACAGTCAATTTCTTCCATTCCTGCAAGATAGAAAAAGATCAAGTAAAGCCAATCGTTTTACAGTGAATATAAAATTTATGTAAAAGCATACAAAAACTTTATTATAAACTGTTATCATCTTTGGAATACTATTCCTTCAAAAGTTCAACATGCAAATGAGCCAAGAACCTGAGGCCACACGCTCCCTCCACAGCATTCCAGGCAAATACTTCCTGCATTGACTAAGATCATCATGAAGGTTCTGCCTTCTCAGCCTTGCCCCTTGCATGAGGTATGGTGACCCTCAAGTTAAACTCATTACCAGTCGCCCCTTTGTGATGAGACAGCAGCCTGTTGTTCTCTGGAATTACAGCAACTTTAATTTTTACTTAAGGCATCTGGAGCTCACTTTTACTGTACCTATTAGTTTAACTGTTGATAAACTCAGCATAGACCTTCAGGTAAATGATATCCACGAATCTCATTTGTGTTGCATTTAGATAGTATAAGAATACTCTTACATAAACTGGCAAGTATTCTCATTACACTGTACAAACAACTAAAACAGGTCAACGCTTGAACAAACAATACAAGCTTTTTTATTACCAGATTCTCCATCTTCCACTAAATATTCAACAGAACTCTGTAAATGCGAACATGTCACCAAGCAGCTAAAATGGTGTCTACCATTTGGAAAGGGTACAAGAGACAAATTATAGAATATTCCAATGACAAAATGCCAATAAAACATTGGAGAAGCTTCAGCAGTGATAAGGAAAGAGAGCAGCCTTCATTTAAGTCAATGAAATTGAGAAAGAAAATGCTGAATGGATGCTTCCCCTCATGGTGGAATCTACAACCAGGGGACACATTTTAAAAATGAGGGTTGTCCATTTAGATCAGAGGCAAGGAATTTTTTTTTCCCGAGGGTTGTTAGTCTGTGGAATTCTCTTTGTAGAACACAGTGCAGGCTAGATCACTGAATGCATTCAAGGCTGCGTTAGATGGACTTTGACCAACAAGCATCATGACAGACAGGAAAATGGAGCCAAAGCTACAATTCGAGCAGCCAAGATCTTATTGAATGGCTGAGTAGGCCTCAGGAGCCAAATAGCTTACTTCTGCTCCAATTTTTGGATCCTTTTGAAACATTAGATGGCATTTTGTCAAATAGATGATTTTTTTTTGATTGTTCTTGGGATGTGATGACGGTAGAATTTGTAGTCTGTTCCTAGTAGCTCTCGAGATGATGGCAATGAGCTGTATTCTTGAATTGCCACTGTCCATGTGGTGTAGGTACACTCACAGTGTTGTTCTGAATAAAGTACCAAGATTTTGATTCAGTGACCGTAAAGGAACGGTGATACAACTCCAAGTTAGAACAGTGTGGTGTTTGGAGGACAACTTGCAAATGGTGATGTGCCCACGAATCAGTTGCCCTTATCCTTCTAGTTAGTAGAGGTCAAGGGTTTGGAGAGTATTGTGAAAGGATCCTCGAGTTGCTGCATTATGTCTTGTAGTTATTACACATTGCTGTCACTGTGAATTGGTGGAGAAGTAAGTGAATGTTTAAGATGATGGATGGAGTGCTGATTAGGAAGGGCTTTAAAATAAACTGGACCAATGGATCCGAACACAGAATGAAATCAGTGAAATGTAAAATTAAAAGAGAAGGCATTTCAGGAAGAATTTCTAAAGATGATAAATGTTTGCAATAACCTGCCAGATGGGCTAATAGAGCTGAAAGTACATTGTAATAAAGTTCAGGAGTGAACTTCAATGGGCTCAGCATTTTTCATCGCTGACTTTCCTTTTGCTCTTAAACACTCTTCCTGTAAAAGGAAGTTACTCACAACAAGATAAAACTGGGCAGATGTGACCAGATTTCCAGTGTTTTCCCCATAATGTCATCCATTATCAGCAAAGTCATGACACCGAATATTGCAGGGTATTGAACTATAAAAGAGACAACGCAGCCAAATCTAATCACATTTTCACAGATGTCATACTGAGTCCAACATTCAGACATTCCTGGAGACCATTGTGCAGGATGCCAGTGATGAAACAAAAACTGGCCATGAGTCCTTCCTCTGTTTCCAATCTCCATGACTCTATCTCTACTAGAGCTAAATAAAGCTCTTTTCCAGCAAGTATTTCCATTTTAAGAGTGAAAGCTGAATTCAGCAGCTGTCTAGTATCAAACAGCTGCATCAAAGGCAACAACATGTCATGAAGTTGGGAGGAGTTTCAAAAGATAAGCAAAAATGTTTTGTGAAGTTTAAAGGGTTTATCCTATAGGTCAGCAGAGCCAGAATTAAAAAAAATAACAAAAACAGAAATTGCTGGAGAAACTCAGCAGGTCTGGTAGCCATCTGTGGAGTCAACATTTCGGGTCCAGTGACCGTTCATCAGAACTGGACCCAAAACATTGACGGTTTCTCTCTCCACAGATGCTGCCAGACCTGCTGAGTTTCCCCCGCAATTTCTGTTTTTGTTTTGGATTTCCAGCGTCCACAGTTCTCGGTTTTATTTTAGCCTGAATTAGGAACTTTGCTAGTTCAGGGATTATCGCATGCCTGAGCATCAGAAAGGCTGCAACTTCAGAAATCAAGATGAGATTGAAAATGATGAGCTGCAGCCTGCAAACAAAGGGCAGAGTGCCCACCATCAGCAGGCTGGAACCAAGAGCAACACCCCCATAGCAACACTTCCACCAATCATAGTTCACACAACATACAGTACGGGAACAGACCCTTCAGCACACGATGTTGTGACAAACATGACACCAAATTAAACTAATCCCTTCTTCCTGCCTGTGGTCCATATCCCTCCATTCCTTGCTTATTCATATGCTTGTCTAAAAGCCCCTTTAATGGCCCTATCATATTCGCTTCCACCACCATCCCTGGTAGCACATTCCAGACTCCTGCTACTCTCTGCATAAAAAACGTGCCCCTCACATCTGCTTTGAATTTTCCCTCTCTTATCTTAAATGCATGCCCTCTAGTATTAGACATTTCACCTCTGGGTAAAAGATTCTGACTGTCAACCCTACCTATGCCTCGTAATTTTATAAACTTCTATCGGGTCTCTCTTCAGTCTCTGCCGCTCCAGAGCATGCAACACTAGTTTGTCCAGCCTCTCCTTATAACTCATACCCTCTAATCCAGACAGCTTCCTGGTAAACCTCATCTGCAGACCAATCAGTACTCTCCTCTCACACAGTAGTATAAGACAACAAGATTGCTCTCCCATTACATTGGTAATCTTATAAATGGAGTACAAGACAAAAAGTTTCAACAAGAACATACACCGAAACAGAATTTGCTGGGAAAGCTCAGCAGGTCTAGCAGCTTCTGTGAAGAGAAATCAGAGTTAACGTTTTGGGTCTGGTTCCTCAGAGGAAGGGTCACCAGACCCAAAACGTTGACTCTGATTTGTCTTCACAGATGCTGCCAGACCCGCTGAGCTTTTCCAGCAAATTCTGTTTTTGTTTCTGACTTACAGCATCTGCAGTTCTTTTGGTTTACATTCAACAAAACATACCTTTTTTCAGCAATACTCAAATTTTGCTACTACCAAATGATTATCTTTTTCTCTATCTACTGTATAAATGCAAATAAGGGCAGATCTGTGGCTCAGTGGTTAGCACTGCTGCCTCGCAGCGCCAGGGACCAAGGTTCAATTCCACCCTCGGGTGACTGTGTGGAGTTTGCACATTCACCCCATGTCTGCAAGGGTTTCCTCCCACAGTCCAAAGATGTGCAGGGTAGGTGGATTGGCCATTGCTAAATTGCCAATAATGTCCAGGAATGTGCAGGCTAGGTGGATTAGCTATGGGAAATGTAGGGCTACAGGGTGGGATGCTCTTTGGAGAGTCGGTGTGGACACAATGGGCTGAATGGTCTGCTCCCACACTGTAGAGATTCTACGATGACTGCTGAAGCTGGGGAAAGCAGAAGCCAGTATTGTAATCCTTGACTCGTTGATATAAGGAATCACATATTGGCAGGAAACAGGATTATTTTTAAAAGGCAACACTCCAAAAGTGATTGACTGAAGGTGTGAGTGCAAGTGTGAGAGAGAGAGCGTATGTGCATGCTTGCTTAGACTAGGTTGGGGTTTCAACTAAACAGGGTCTCAAACTACTTCACTCAGCTTCTATGCAATTTCGCCAGTAAACCATGTATTTTCTGGATCTTTATAGAGTCTACAACATAGGATTAAATTATTAAGTAAAATCAAGAACTGTAGATGCTGAAAATCTGAAACAAATGCAGAAATTGCTGGAGAAAACTCAGCAGGAAGGTCAGAATAGTTCTGATGAAGGGGTCATTGGACCCGAAATACTAACTCCACTTTCTATGCCCAGATTCTGCCAAACCTGTCCAAGTTTCTCTGGCAATTTCTGTTTTTGTTTCAAATTGCTAAATATTTGGTGAAACTGCAATTAATTTGAGATTGACAATAAGGTTTCAGAAAAGGCCAGTTGTGTATGTTCATAGGAGTGTCATGTGTTACTCCCCAGAGCAGGAGGCAAGGTAGTTAAGATAATGTAATTTTGCAAGAGGCCAAAAATTAGATTCTCAATTGTGGGATGAAAGACATATGGGAACACCTCCACCTCCAAGTTCCCCTCCAGGCCACTCACCATCCTGACTTGGAAATATATCACTGTTCCTTCACTGTTGCTGGGTCAAAATTCTGGAATTTCCTCCCTAATAGCATTGTGGGTCAACCTACAGCAGGAGGACTACAGCAGTTCAAGAAGGCAGCTCACCACCTTCTCAAGGGCAACTAGGGGTGGGCAATAAATGCTGGCCAGCCAGCGACGCCCACATCCCAAAAATGAATATAAAAAATGTTTACAATTCAATTCGCAGAACATTAAAGGTAGACATTCATGATACAAGTATTGAGAAGCCATTATGCATGCATTTAGTATGTCACCCTCATTTACAGTAATACAACACACTGTTTGTGGGAATTAAGCAAACAATATTGAAATTTGCTGATGATATGAACAATGCAGCATGGAAAACGGTGACAAGCAATGCAAAATGTTGGAGAACTTGTGTGTGTAGCTCCAGTATCATACCATGGTCAGATATCAGAATAAGATTGACACATTGCTGTAGGTTTCTTTGCTTGAGCCCATCCATCAACATTCCCACTATCATGTCCACGTTTTCTAGTGCTTCTGCCACCTATATATTGAGAGAGAAAGGAAAAAAAAGTCTTCAGTCTACAATTCAAAACAAGGCCAAAATGGTTTTCACCATCTCTTTGCCTTTGTCATTCATATCATTGCTGCTGTAGTTCTTGATCCCAGACTGATCTTTATTTTAGATAAGCAAACAACAGATAGTCAGCACTTAATAATGAGGTATCGCAAATGACCTAATGTTCCCAAGATGTTTACTTAAGTGATTTTTTTTTTAATAGAAGTTTGTAGCTATGCCAAATGTTGCATAACTTCAAAAATGGTTTTTAATAGAGACCTAGACTGGATTTTTAACAGGTAAGCTAAGTATTGGGAGGTGGATTTAGGTTCTGGGTCAACAGATTGCCCCTGGTAAGAACCTGGAAACCTTCCAAATCTTGTCCAAGGTGAACACTTAATTGCAGAAGTGACAAGTTTGCAGGAAATTAGTGGCCATGGGCATGGGAATGGAGGTGGATTGCTTCTGGAGTGGACAAAATTCAAATAAGTATTGGCAGCCATTGGCTAGTGAGGAAATAACTTAAATGGCAGCAAGTTTAAAATATTGTGAGCGGGCTTTCATTATTACAGCAATATTTTAGGAATCGCTTTTCTGTATGTTCAATAAGGTACAAGAAAAAGCTTCCGCAAGACTTTGGCTTTCTATCTTCACCATCCTTGGGCGTAGCTACGTGTAAGTGCATCTCCAAATAACCTGGATGTATGTTGGAATCTTGATTTTATCTTTCTTTCTTGGATTTGTGTGCAAAGTGTAATTGACCAATATTACAAATGAGAACATAAGCCCTCCAGGCAATGTTAAATGTGAGAGATAACACAGTGTGGAGCCGGAGGAACACAGCAGGCCAGGCAGCATCAGAGAAGCAGGAAAACTGACGTTTCAGGTTGGGATCCTTCTTCAGAAAAAAGGTCTGAAAAAGGGTCCTGACCTGAAATGTCAGCTTTCCTGCTCCTCGGATGCTGCCTGGCCTGCTGTGTTCCTCCGGCTCCACACTGTGTTATCTCTGACTCCACCATTGGCAGTTCTTAATATCTCTTAATGTTAAATGTGAAGTGTCTTTGTAACAATGGAGTTTTACGAAGCTTGGACCCATCTATTCAGAACGTGCCCAATGATGTCCATACAATACATGAAGTACCACACAGGCCCGACATGCTAGTGGCTCAAAAACAGCTGGAAGGGATGCCTATTGGGTTCCAGCGACAGCTTCCCTCAATCCATTGGGAGCTCCAATCGAGGATCGAGTATATGAATACAGAGAATGAGTGTGCCACAACTAGGCTCCCTCATCACGTTGGGGGTCTCTGATAGAGGGGGTTAATGATACTGGATCCAGTGATGAGGGCTGCCTCTGCAAACAAGGCAGCCTCAGGAGAGATCCAATGGGTCACTCCACATTGAAGATGATTGCCACAGCAATCAGAACGTGAGTAGGCCACCACCGTCTCCACCAAGGCAACAAGGGCCAAATTGCAGGGAAGTGTCTGAATGTGGAGGACTTCACTTTGGGCAGATCACTGAATGGATAATTGCAAGTTACGTGGACTGTTGCTTTTGTGTTCTCACTGCACTGTATATAAAAGCACCTATTGTTAAATGGAGATGCAAGATTAGATTGACTGTGCTCAAACAGTGAACAAAATAGGAGCTCCTCGCAACTGAGTAGTCCAATTCTCTGTGATGTTAAGAGTCCAGAATCTTCACTCATGGCAACTGTTTGTGCATCATTACAGGCTTGAAACAATTGCCTTGATTTAGCAAGGCCTTCGGGCCTCAAGAGTTTATTAGCTCCACCGTTTCAGGATCAGACTGATCACATTTGTAGCTTCTTGGCAAAATCTCATTCTGGTATCCCAAGCCTGAATACCTCCTGTTCAGCTGGATATGCTCATGTAGCAAAATGCTCCCCTTCTGCATCTCCTGCCCAATCCTTACCATGGCCTAGTCAAGCTCTTCCTCTGATAAGATCAGCCCTTCCACTGCCTGTGCATCCTCAAGGTTCATTTATTTTTGTTCAGCCATATAAGAAAGATGAACCATTCAAGGGATCCTATTCAGGATGTGCAGTGCAAGGGGCCATCCAGTTGGTCCAGATAGAAACACAAGTCTTCAGCGAATGCTGGTCTGATTAATGAGGGTTTGTGCAAGTGTGCTTATATAAGTGCATGTCTTGAGATAGCGCGTCAATCAAGGTTTAATTCTGCTATTACCTGACATTTACACAAATGTATAATTGACAGGGGTCAATGGGCTGATTTTTAATTCTCTTTCCTAGCCAAGGTAACAATGTAGCGCTCTCTGGTGAGCTCGATTAAATAAGGTCATTCATCTTACATCAGTCAACTGTGATATTACTTATTACGGAAAGATTACACACTGTTGTCTACTGTTAACACACACAATCTCATCTTGATGCAGTGGAAGTACCTAATATTAGATTTTATAAAATTACTAAATTAACTTAATCACCTTATAGAGTAGTGAATCAAAGATACTTACTTTGTTGCTATTAGGCCCATGTATATGCCCTGAATAATCTGGTTCCCTCAAATATAGGGTGTAAAAGTCAGGCCTAAAACAACAGCAACAAATCTATCTTGAAAGACACATAGGCACTAACTCTTAACATTTGAATTATATTGGAGCATATCAACAGTTAAAAATTGCATGTAATCACATGTACCAATGGAGTAGTACTGAGTTATTAATAGATCACTCCATTGCTGGTTGCAAAAATAAAAATCAACATCCTCTGAATATAACTAAAGCATTAAGGGATCAGCTGACATTTTCAAAGTGTTCCAACACAATTTAATTTATCAAAAATAATTGCAAAAAAGTGTGTCAGCACAGGGTACATCACAGCTAATCATTTTTAGATTAAATATTCAGAACTAGCAAATATAGCATCATTCTTAATCTAGGGGTATGGATAATAAATGTCATTAAGAGGCAAGAATGATAATTGCAAAGGCAATAAAAAAGAAAAATTGCATTTTAGGGGTTTCATATATATTGGGACAATGAATAGAAAATGTTGTTATCAGTGTGATATTGAGTAGAGATCTGTGTATGACCTACATCCAAAGCTAGGAAAAAGGATACAATGATATACTTCTGGCACAACTCCAGTGCAAGATTACAAATATGAAGAAAGGCGTGAAAAGTATCCCCTCCCCACAACCCTACTGCATTGCAGCACTAAAGTCTAATGGAGATTCACAAAATTGCGATCAGATTTATAGAAAAACAGTGAATAATTGTTTCTGGAGGTTAGTCGATTGATAACAACAGGGAAGAAGTTCCAAAATGTCTCTAGAAGAAAGAGAGAGAAGGTCAGGTGAAATACTTTCATACCATGGATTATTAACAAATTAAATGCTTTTTCACAAGCGGTAATTAAGACAGAAACTATGAAAGTCATTGTACAAAGAAAACATTTCAGGCCTATACTTTGGGTCTGCACACTTCCAATATGTGCTGACAGTGAGTAAAGCTCTACATCAGTAACAATTAATGTTAAAATAGAACATCAATTGCATCACTTAGAAATGTGTCAATATTTGAGAAAGATTCTAAAGGATGCAGAGAAATGCAAACAAAATAGACAGCTAAGAATTTTAAGATGAATTGAAAAGGAAAGGTTTGATGAGATTTCTTAGCAAAAAGATTGCTAGATGTACCTGAGATAACGAGGTGTAGAGCTGGATGAACACAGCAGGCCAGGCAGCATGAGAGGAGCAGGAAAGCTGACGTTTCGGGCCTAGACCCTTCTTCAGA